CAGCATGGAGAGGTTCCCCTGGAAGCTGATCAAATGAGCCTTGGGATCTCCGGTCCCATTGTATACTATTCCTCCGGGGGGTCTGCAGTCCCGCGGGATCTCTGCATTCATGACCCTCGGAGTAAATGGTGAGGTGAGGGAGAAACGGGGTGCAGCCAGGGTGGCCTCCGCCCGTCTGTCCATTTCGGCTATTCGCCGCTCCATTGCCTCTAGTCGGGCCTCCTGTGCGGCCCTTCCGGGGGACACTGGAGGGGCGGCCTCGAGCGCAATGTTCCTTCGTGGGGCAACCGCGTCGGGTTGCCTTCGGGTGATGTGGGCACCACGCCTTTGGAAACGTCATCCAATGTTACTGGCGGCGGGGGTAATGGCAGTGCCTTGCTGTCCTGAAGGAACATCCGGCGTGCGCCCCCGATGATCGTCCTGCCAACCATAACGAGGGGTGCTGGCGCTGGTGTGCCCCCCAGCCCCGTGGGAGGATGGATTTTGGTCCAACCTCATGTGGATGGGCGTCCGACGCCCGGCAGACTCTGCTGTCTCGTCCAGGGACTGCATGTGGTGGATGGGCGATATGGGCGTCCAGATGGTGTTAGCGGAATACACCTCTTCTTCCGCCTCCTGTTCGTCCGCCATCCGGCGCATCGTTTCCGCCAACTCCCTCATGAGTCGGGGGTCGCGTCTGGCCTCGTGGGGGATGAGGTTGGTGAGGCCACCTTCACCCCCAGTAGTTCCCAACGTCTCGGAGCGTTCCGCGGTTTGCCCGCGGTTGCTTCGCCCGCGGGACAGCTGCTCGGAGAGGTCACGTTGTCGATTGTTCCTTGTCATCGCGCTTGCTGTGGGTAGATTTAGTAGCTGTTTGGGAGAGTTTTGGAAACTTTTAGTTCAGTTCCCACAGACGGCGCCAGTGTTGAGGTTTATTCCTTCAACCCTCGGGTCCAACACGTAAGCCCAAGGATTTCGAGTGGAGTATGTGTGAATTAACTAGCCCAACTAACAAGTGAGATGAATCAAGAAACAACAAGGTAGCAAGTAAGTGATTAGGTATTATTATCTCTTAATGACTCCCTAATACAATACTTTTCGCTAAGGCTCCGTCGGCCGTTCGTCTTACAGGGCAGTAGAAGTGCTGCGAGTAAGAATGCTATAGCTAGAGTGCTAAGAATAGAAAGTTGCCAACCCTTTACAATAAAATAAATGCTTCTATTTATACCCGCCAATGGGCAGGTGGCTGTACTGACGTGGAAGCCTGTGGTTCGCTGGTGTCCCAACCACCAAATCTTCAGCATTAAATGCACTTCCCGCCAGAATCTAAGTTTCCCGCCTAATTAGTGGGGACGTTCGTCCGCCCGGGGAGCAAGCTGGGTTGCTCCAGGTGGCCTCCAAAGGGCACTGGCCGTTCGCCCCCTGGCCTTGTGGATTCTCGCCATGTGGACCGGACCGCCTCCGATGGCCATGGGCTTGCCCTGACGACGTTCGTTGTCATTCCGGTGACCCGTGGTCCTGCTCCTTGTCCCTGCATAGACGTTCGTCGAGGTGGGCCGTTGGGCTTAAACTCCAACTACAGACGTTCATCTCTCCTGGAGAAAATGGGCTTGCCAGGCTAGCTTAGTGATCTATCTGGACGTACGTCTGGAGGGAGGGGTAAATGGGCCGAACCTCAACTTGGGCCATTAACCCAACAGTACCTCAACTTGTATGAGGTGGAATAAAGAGTATACTATATTGTATTTGATCTTATTAAGTGCACAAATTCTGATTAAGACGTTAATACGGTTGAGTCGATTAACAAAATGTTAATAGACCGACCTCTTGAAGGTCGACGCCAGCCCCCGATCACTTGATTGATTTCCCCTTGGTCGAGGTCAGTCCCCCGCAGATCGACTTCTCCTTGGTTGATGCACCCCTGCTGGCTGACCCCCCCCCCCATAGGTCGACCTCCGAAGGTCAATTTCCCCTTTTTGATCGACTTCGTGAAGGTCGGCACCATAACCTTGGTCCACTATCCCTTCTTAGTCAACATTCCATTAACCAACTCAGCTGTATTACCGTGTTAATCTAATTAACAGGTGTACTTAATTAACACTAAAATCCCGAATTTGTGTACATAAAAAGATCAAATGCAATATAGTTTACTCCACCTCATACAAGTTGGTGTACTCAATTGACTATTTCCTCGAGATATTAGTAATAAAATATCTCTCTTCTAATTTGAATGATGTTATATATTTTTTGTGAGTTTTTCTTCACAATTCAATAAAAATGTCAAATGTAGATATTGTGGTTAACATTGTTACCAAAATTAATGACCATCTAAATATTACCATCTAAATATTACAAAAAATTACATGCAAGTAATTCAATGAAACATGCATATCAAAGAGAAGAACTAAGATGAAGATAGTGGGGCAGATGAAGTGATTAATATGAATTAAGATAAATAAATATCGTGTAAGTATGAAAGTCAAGAGTCCAAGTTTTTAGATAATCTTCATGTTAACCCCATGATTTATGAAGATTGTAAAAAAAAATGAAAAAACGTAAAAATGTGTGACAAATATTTATAATTGTTTGAAGATAGTTAGAAATTGTAGGCGCGCGCACACACACATTTAAAGGCTATGTTCGGTACCACCATTCAGCCAATAATGAGCTGAAATTTGTAAAATTCAGTCATTTATTATGAATCTAGCCCTGTTTGGAGAAAAGTCTGAATGAAGCTGCAACTGGAAATAAGGGTCTGGATTGAAACTAGGGATGTCAAAAAAAACCCGACCCGCAATGACCCGCCCTGGCCCGAGACATTTGGGGCGGGTCCGCCCCGCCCCGTCTTGCAAATGGGGCGGGTCCGCCCCGCCCCGCCTATACAATGGGGCGGGTCTGGGTATTAAAATTGACCCGTGGCGCCCCGACCCGCCCTGCCCCGACCCGCTCAATATATAAGTATACATACTTTTTCTTAAATTATACTACAAATACACTTCAACATACATATGTGTGTATACAATAAATCATAAATGCTTTGATTTTATAATATATTAATATATATTAGAATGAGATGAACGACGGATATCAATGTCTTCTTTATATATAGCATTTTAATACATATATTCAATGATTAATATAATTAAATTAATTCGTGTAGATAACTACGCATTTTTGCGTTCTCGAATTAATTTGAATGTGTTCCCGATTGAATTTTTAGCTGAAATTTGGTATGAGTAAACTAGACTTGGTGAATAAGAAGCTAAAAAAAATTCATCAAAAAATTTCACCGGGAAATGCCCCAAATCGCGACGACCGGACAGAACCTCCTATAGAAGGACTTAATTGACCTTTTTATGAAAGTTCGAGGACCTATTTGACAGTTTTCCCATTTATATATAAGAAAAGAAATAGCTCTATAAAAGACAATTACACCCTTCATTAATCCTATTTGTCATTCTCTCCACATTTTGCTCATTTGCTATAAAGATGCCATGTGGCTAATTCTATTAATTAATAAGAGAACCGAACTATATGCACCAACAAGGAAATGTAGGCCTGGGGAGAAATTAATAAGAGAACCGAACTATATGCACCAACAAGGAAATGTAGGCTTGGGGAGAAATATAATTGATGGGACCCATCATATAAAACACCCATTTTCTTTAAAATGTCATAACTTTTTCATAATTACTCTAATTTTTAAAAAACATATATCAAAATTCATAACTTTTTATGATCTTTCATATGAGACCAATATTGCATATAAAATAATAATAAAAAATCTGAAGGTTTATTAAGTAACCTATTTATAATTATGTTTAAAATTATATCATAGTGACTATAAAAGTATACTCATAAGAAACACATCAAATTAATTATTTATAATTATGTTTAAATTTATATCGTGATTGAAAAACATGAAGTTGTTTATTAAATAATCAAAAACAATTATATGCAATATTATTGTCATATGAAACGTTACAAGAATGATGAATTTGAATATGTTTTGTAAAGTTGGAGTTTAGATGAAAAGGTTATAACACTTTGAATATAAATAGATTTCCGAAAAAAAGGATAATGGACAAATTCAGTCAATTTTTCATCAAATACTTAAATTTTATTTCCGCGAGCTGAATTGTGTTATGATCAAAATAAGAAAGCTTCAAGTTAATGTTATGCCAGAATTGTGTTATAAACGAAAATTGTAGCTACTTTTTCAGATAAATGTTTATTTATTTTATAAATAAAATATGTTTTAAAATCAAATTTTCCATAGTTCACTATATCCCGCCATTTCAACGGTTTAAGCAAGAACTTCAACAATCTCAATAGATTCAGTCATTTTATGTGTTACAGAACAAGCTCTAAATAACATTATAAATATACTAAAAAGTTATATTAGTATCATGATCATATATTTTTTCACAAATATAATTTTTTGGTATTAAGTACTACATCCGTCCCTGAATCAACTTTCCGTTCGGTTTACGATGTTTGACTGACGATAAAGCAACTCGATCCATGATACACCCAGATTATTTTTAGTAAATAAAATTTATATATTCAGAAACTACATTAAAATCGCTACAAAGCCTGATTAAGAAAATTTGAATTTGATAAAAGTTTGGTATATAAAGTAAAAGATTAGAAGTGATTTAAGTCGACCAATGAATAGTGAATGAGAAGTTAATTTTGGGACGAAGGGAATACATAATTTAAAATACACAAAACATCTATGACGATACAATTGAAATTAAATTGTATCGGATGAAATATTACTTATTTTACAAATGAAATTTTAGAATGTTAACTGCATCCTAACAAAGTTTTTAGGTATTAAAAAACATGTTTACTAACAATTGATCAGGATAACTTTCTCTCTCAAATGTAGTTCTTTTAAGTATTCCGTATAAGATAAGTCGGCTCACAATTGAACGGGATAATTTCCTCCCTCATATGTAGTGCTTTTAGTATTGTGAAAATAAAAAGATAAAATTTCTAACAATTGAGCGGTGATAGCCGTTATATTTACTTGTGTTTAACATAAGTATTTATAAGTATTTGTTGAAGAAAGGAAGAGAAATCGGACAAATACCTCCAGAATGAGAGCTAGAGCATAAAACATTGCGATGAACGACTTTTTAGACCAAGAGAATGACGTTCTGCCCATAATTTGAGTATAACGTATTCTATAGAACTCGAAATCACTCGATTCGAGTTTCATGTGAATGCTAACTCAATAAGGTACAAATGTTATGAAGACGTCATGGCCAAAATATGAAAGGAACAAGACTCAATCAACCAACAAAGTCAGATGTTGCTGGTGGGATTTCAGGATGCATACCTCTCAGTATTTTAGCCATAACGTTTGATTGGATGAATAAAATCACGTCATTCAAGTTTTGGTGGATAGAAGACTTCATTATCTACAACTTTGGTGAAGAAATCATGTCCAAATTCGTAGCGGAACATCCCCAAAATCCTGGGACAAAAACCGACACTTTTTGATCAATTTCGGAAGAAGAGAAAGGAAGCGCATTTTTGGGCGTTGCAACCGGCGCCGGTCAGCCTATAACCGGCGCCGGTTGGAAGGCTTTTTCGCACTAAACGAGCCTGTTTGCGACCGGGGCCGGTTCTAGACTGACCGGGGCCGGTTGGGACGATTTCAGCTCAAACAAAAGGTCGTGCAAGAGGATTTTTGATGGGAAAACTTCACCTTCCCCATCTCTTGATCAAATATTGCTCCATAACTGATTGTTGGGCTCGAATAGACTAAAAGATGCCATTCTTTAGCCTATATAAAACCTTCAATTCATCAAGAAAACACATTCCATTCCATACTTTAATTCCTAGTTTTCATACTTTGTTTTTGCTATTGTTCTTCAAGTTCTTGAGGAGGAAACTTCAACCTCCGAAACCATTGGTGTTTAGGTATTATTTCCTTTGTAATTTCATGTTCCATTACATTTCAATATTTGTATTGTGATTAATATGAGCATTAGAGGCTAATTTCTTAACTAAGGCTAGGGATGAACTTCTATGCCCACTAGGTGTTTGATAAAAGTTCTAAACCAATAAATTGTGATTTATCCTTTACATTTTGATTGTTTATGACTATGGTGTACAACATAGAAGTATGTTAAACTTAGTTTATGCTTGCAATTAACGTTGAGGTCTAAACTATGAACACTAAAGGATAAACATATATATTACCGAGAATAGAAATATATCCGGTATTATATGATACGGGTGTGATGTCTTGATATTCAACGGGGTTTTCGGTAGATGAATGTAAGCCGTAACGGGACTTACACGTAACGAAAACCACGCTCTCGCTGCCTTAACCGGAGTTAAGAATATATTAGTGACATCGTATTCATAATTATTGGTAAAGAACTAATATTCAATCCTATTAAAGCATTTAAGTGATTCCCGAAGCCTTAGCCGTTGTTATCATTTATCTCAAATTCGAATTAATCAAGGTTACTTCCTTGAATTAAAAGTGAAAAGCCAAAAATATAAAACACAACTCAAAATCCCTGCACTTTACTCATTTATTTATTTAAAGTCATCTACTCTCGGACTAAATTAAACAACGTTTCCCTGTGGATTCGACCCGGTATTTTACCGGAATTTATTACTATATCGGCACTTGTACACTTGCAAGTTTAGCCCGGTCAAGTTTTTGGCGCCGTTGCCGGGGAAACGGTCTTGTTTAATAAAGTCCAAACAATCAACCAATCAAAAATCCTGAATTTATTTTTCACAACTTCACTTGATCTTGGAAGGATTTTTGTTTTTTCTTGTGTAGATATTCACTTGTGTTTGCATGCAATTGAGAGGTCAAGGTTCTAAAATTCTTGAACCACTTGATCTTGAAATAGAAAAAACTTGCAAACACATTCGAAGGGAGCAAAAAGCTACAAAGATGTTGCCAACTTTGAATGAGAGGAAGAGACCCGTGGTGGCCGCTACGCCATCTTGCATCACCTTGAGCGAGGAAGCAAGAGACTATGAGCTAAGGCAAAGCTACTTCAACGCTATGCCTCAGTTTCATGGTTTGCTTGGGGAAAATCCACTCAACTTCATCACGGAGTTCTACGGATTCATTCAAGGAATCCCTAGAAATGGCTTGGCGGAGGATCAACTCAAGCTCAAATGCTTCCCCTATACTCTCAAAGGGGCGGCAAGAGGATGGTTCCTAGAGCAAGCTCCGACAAGCTACACAACATGGGAAGGTATATACAATGCCTTCATGTCTAAGTACTACACGCCCACCATGACTCAAGAGCTTAGACAACACATTTTCAATTTCAAACAACAAAATGGTGAGCTCTTTCAAGACGCATGGCGGCGTTTCAAATCATTGCTAAGGGAATGCCCACATCACCGCATTCCCCTAGACCTTCAAATTGACACGTTCTACAATGGTTTGAATGCACCTTGTCAAGCCATTGTGGACAACCGAGCCGAGGGATACATTGGAAATAAAAATGAAACTGAGGCACTCCGAATCATTGAATCTATTGCCTCAAATCCTCAACTTCAAGGAGGCGATTACAAGGTGGTCGGGATGAATGAAATCTCTATCACAACCGAGATTAACAAAAGGCTTGAACAAATGGAATCAAAAATTGAGCAAAAATTCCAAACGGCCCTTCAAGCCGTATTGGGAGGAGTCAAGCAAATAGCTAATGTGGAGAGCATTCAAAGTCCGGAAGGCAATTTATCTCAACATCTTGAAGAGGTAAATTTCATGAACTCTTATGGGAACCGGGGAAACAATAATCCTTCTAATCAACAAAGGTGGAACCAAGGGAGCAATTGGAAGCCACAACCCCAATCCGGAGCACCTAATTTTGGGCCGTCCAAGGAAACCACCATGGAGGATATGATGCAATTCATATCCAAGAGCATGGAAAGCATGAAGGCTCAAAATGAAGAGAACCATAGTAGAGTGGAGGCATCCATTGGGAATCTCCACTCTCAATTCAACAAGTTGGATCTTCGCTTTGAAGATCAAAATATAAAGCTCAACCAACGCATCGACACCATTGAGCAATATACCAAGGCGTCAATCCGAAACCTTGAAGTTCAATTGGGGCAACTCGCCCAAAAGGTGAGTTCTAGAGAGCAAGGTAAACTCCCTACAACTACCGAGGTAAACCCGAGGGAGAGCGTCATGGCCATTACCACAAGAAGCGGGAGGCAAACGGAGGATCCCAAGATGCCGGAGAGAAGAAAGACACCGGAGGAACAAGAAGAGGTTTCACATACACCGTTGCCACCTATTATGCCTCAATATGTTCCTCCCATCCCTTATCCACAAAAGTTGAAGAAGAAAGGAGATGAGAAGAAACACAAGAAAATTCTTGATATTTTCAAGAAATTGAGCATCAACATACCTTTTGCGGAGTTCATTGCGGAGATTCCATCATACGCAAAATTTCTCAAAGGCATCATCTCCAACAAAAAGAAGTTAAAGGAATTCGCAACTGAAGCACTAACGGAGGAATGTAGTGCCATTATTCAAAACAAACTTCCTCCAAAACTCAAAGACCCCGGAAGCTTTACTATTCCATGCTCTATTGGAAAAATCGGGGAGGTAAGGTCTCTTTGTGACCTTGATGCTAGCATAAATCTTATGCCCTACTCCCTATTTAAAAAGCTAAGTGTGGGGGAACTCCAACCAACAACGGTTGCTTTGCAATTAGCGGATAGAACAATCCGCTATCCGATAGGTATCATGGAGGATGTCCTTGTGAAAGTTGGAAAATTCTACTTCCCGGTAGATTTTCTTGTTTTGGACATGGAAGAGATGGAAGTTCCCGTCATCCTTGGGAGATCATTTTTGGCCACTTCCGCAGCCGTCATTGATGTGCAAGCAGGCACCGTAAAGCTAAGAGTGGGAGGAGACGATGAAACATTCAATGTATGAAAAACACAATCCATACCAACTCAAAACATGGAGGTCAACACAAATCCTTTCGTCCCTCAAACACACCACGGGAATGAAAAGAATGGACGGACAACTCCATGGCCTCCCCACGATCTCAAAAAGGTAACATTCATCAAACGTCTTCACACGTAAAAAGGTACGTTGCGTCCGGCCTATGACGTTAAACTAAGCGCTAATTGGGAGGCAACCCAACAAATTCAATTATAAATAAATATGTTTGGTTAAATACATATTCATATTTATTTATAATTGAAACCCAAAAAAAAACAAAAAAAAAAAAAACAAAAAAACAAAAAAAACAAAAAAAAAAAAGAAAAAGAAAAAAAAAGCATCATATAAACTCATGTATCATGCATCTCCTACTCTCACAAGACGGCTCATTCCGCTATTGAAGATTTCATCCTCCATTGCATCCTCCAATGTACATTGAGGACAATGTATCTCAAGTGTGGGGGGTGCATTTCATGGTTAGTTAAACAAATTTTGTGTGCAAAAATAATTCATTTTTAGGAAGGTAAAATTTTCATATTTCTCTTTTTAATGGGTATTTGGTTGAGAAAGTTTTTATTATTCACATAAACTATCATTTTTTTTAGATTTATTACACCACTTTTACTCTTGAAAACCATTCCCAAAATAAACCTTGTGACTAGGAAACATCATCTTCTTCCATGTCCAAAAATGGTTTAAGTACATCTCAAATATTCAAGAACCATTTTGGAAAACAAGCCACCCTCATATCTCATCAAATAAATTGGGATGATCAAAATGACTTTCAGTAAATGCTTGTTGAGAACCAATTCAAATGAGTAAAAAAAAAAGAAAAAAAAAAGAAAAAAAAAACTCATGATCTCTTTCAAGAATTTCAACTGATCCACTTCTATACTGAAAAGTCAAATACACCAAAAAGCCATCCTACACCCCAAAAAGTCCTTGTCACAATCCATTCATCTCCTCTCAAGTGTATAAGTAATTTTTCTAAATCTAATGATAGTTTTGTGTGTCTAATAGAAATTTGGTTTTGGACCGAGAAAGATAAAAGAGTTTACATGAGTTTTTACCTCTCTTAAAATTAAATTATTTTTGTTCATATATTTTTGTTGAAACTAACCAAGGCATCCAAAGTTGAAGAAATTGCTTGAGGACAAGCAACGCTCAAGTGTGGGGGGATTTGATAGCCGTTATATTTACTTGTGTTTAACATAAGTATTTATAAGTATTTGTTGAAGAAAGGAAGAGAAATCGGACAAATACCTCCAGAATGAGAGCTAGAGCATAAAACATTGCGATGAACGACTTTTTAGACCAAGAGAATGACGTTCTGCCCATAATTTGAGTATAACGTATTCTATAGAACTCGAAATCACTCGATTCGAGTTTCATGTGAATGCTAACTCAATAAGGTACAAATGTTATGAAGACGTCATGGCCAAAATATGAAAGGAACAAGACTCAATCAACCAACAAAGTCAGATGTTGCTGGTGGGATTTCAGGATGCATACCTCTCGGTATTTTAGCCATAACGTTTGATTGGATGAATAAAATCACGTCATTCAAGTTTTGGTGGATAGAAGACTTCATTATCTACAACTTTGGTGAAGAAATCATGTCCAAATTCGTAGCGGAACATCCCCAAAATCCTGGGACAAAAACCGACACTTTTTGATCAATTTCGGAAGAAGAGAAAGGAAGCGCATTTTTGGGCGTTGCAACCGGCGCCGGTCAGCCTATAACCGGCGCCGGTTGGAAGGCTTTTTCGCACTAAACGAGCCTGATTGCGACCGGGGCCGGTTCTAGACTGACCGGGGCCGGTTGGGACGATTTCAGCTCAAACAAAAGGTCGTGCAAGAGGATTTTTGATGGGAAAACTTCACCTTCCCCATCTCTTGATCAAATATTGCTCCATAACTGATTGTTGGGCTCGAATAGACTAAAAGATGCCATTCTTTAGCCTATATAAAACCTTCAATTCATCAAGAAAACACATTCCATTCCATACTTTAATTCCTAGTTTTCATACTTTGTTTTTGCTATTGTTCTTCAAGTTCTTGAGGAGGAAACTTCAACCTCCGAAACCATTGGTGTTTAGGTATTATTTCCTTTGTAATTTCATGTTCCATTACATTTCAATATTTGTATTGTGATTAATATGAGCATTAGAGGCTAATTTCTTAACTAAGGCTAGGGATGAACTTCTATGCCCACTAGGTGTTTGATAAAAGTTCTAAACCAATAAATTGTGATTTATCCTTTACATTTTGATTGTTTATGACTATGGTGTACAACATAGAAGTATGTTAAACTTAGTTTATGCTTGCAATTAACGTTGAGGTCTAAACTATGAACACTAAAGGATAAACATATATATTACCGAGAATAGAAATATATCCGGTATTATATGATACGGGTGTGATGTCTTGATATTCAACGGGGTTTTCGGTAGATGAATGTAAGCCGTAACGGGACTTACACGTAACGAAAACCACGCTCTCGCTGCCTTAACCGGAGTTAAGAATATATTAGTGACATCGTATTCATAATTATTGGTAAAGAACTAATATTCAATCCTATTAAAGCATTTAAGTGATTCCCGAAGCCTTAGCCGTTGTTATCATTTATCTCAAATTCGAATTAATCAAGGTTACTTCCTTGAATTAAAAGTGAAAAGCCAAAAATATAAAACACAACTCAAAATCCCTACACTTTACTCATTTATTTATTTAAAGTCATCTACTCTCGGACTAAATTAAACAACGTTTCCCTGTGGATTCGACCCGGTATTTTACCGGAATTTATTACTATATCGGCACTTGTACACTTGCAAGTTTAGCCCGATCAAGCGGGATAACTTTCTCTTTCACATGTAGTTATTTTAAGTACGATAATCCGGCTAATAATTGAGCGGGAGAATTTTTTCTCCCATGTGTAGTGGTTTGAGGTATATAAGAAGATAAACCGGCTAACAATTGAGCGGGAGAGTTCTCTCTCCCATATGTAGTGTTTTTAGGTATAAGAAGATAAGTCGACTAACAATTGAGCTGGAGAACTTTTTATGTCATATGTATTGCTTTTGGATATAAGAAGATAAATTTGCTAATAATTGAGCAGAAGAGTTTATATTGTGCTTTTAGGTATTATTATTACAGGATAAACTTTCTTGCAATTGAGTTGATGATTTTCTCTCATATATGTAGGTAGTTCTTCGAAGTATAAGATAAGCCGACTAGCTAACAATTGAGCGAGAGAAATCTATCTCATATTTAATTCTTTTTGGTATAAGATAAATTAGATAACAATTTAGCAGAATAATTTTTTCTTTCATATGTTACCTCTAATTTAACTAATGCGCAACAAGTTCTTATTTAACTAATATCGTTAAGTTTAATATTTATTGTATTCACTTAAATTTTATGTCACTCACTTATTGCCCCTTCTTAGAACAGTAATTAATCATTAAAGTTAACAAGTAGCAAATTCTAATGAGTGATGTCAATTAGTTTTCCATAATATACTTTTCATAATATACTTTTCTTCGAATATTTATTGTGTGGACTTATACTTTATGGTATTAGCTCATTGTACTTTTATTTTTCGAAAATGTGCAATCCAATAAAGTTATTTTTTATTTTAATATTTATTTAGATCATGAGTAAAATATGTGCACTAACCGCTCTTTCCCGTGCGTATGCACGAGTACTATACTAGTATGATATGAATAGAGGCTAATTTGGTTAAAAAAAAATTTCACACATATTCATGGTAATAAGTTAACAATGGAATAATTCCCAAAAAAAAAGTTAACAATGGAATAGTTATTTTTGACATTTTTATTGTAGGTAGATTCTATGGTACCCCAAATGTACCGTACCTTTGTCCAAATGGACCAATAAGAATGATGCAGTTGAATTATTTAAATCTAAATTAAAAAGTATATAATGATTTGGACCAATCAAATGCATGGTAGGTACGGTACCCCATTTTTTAAACCCCTACCGGAGTTGTAGCTTTTTATTGTATTCCGATTTATTGACGTGGTTGCAACCGGCTGATATAGGGTTTTTCCGCCCCTTTAGTCAGTGATCTGCTTAGTGATATCTTTCCGCGGAACTTCACCAGAACGAGGTGCCACAACGCCAGGGTTGAGAAATCCGTGAATCGAAATTAAAGGTAATATTCTTGATTTAGATCTACTGTAGCTTCATGTTGATGAAAATTGAAAGCAGTGATCGCAAATGCAATGATAAATGCAAAATGATGAGATAAACAACGCTATCTTGGATATTGTTGTTCAAAGTGAGCGGACTCGGTAAGGAGAAATCGACAAGGTAAGCATGGAATTATAATTTGTATGGCCAGTGGAGCTGATAACCTTCATCATATTCTGCGCCTCAGCTAGCCAATTTGCATTACTGTCCTCAGTATTGCAGACACGTAACACTTTCATGCTTGTGACTTGTGAGATGTTAGTGTACTTGATGGTGAGAGGGTTGAATGTATTTGTTTAAACGGTGAGATGTTCTTTAGATGTCCTATTTAAGCAGCCTCAAGATTGATTCAGATATACAGTGGGCACTAATAATACTAGTTGGGGACGGTTAATGTCAATGCTGATTTAGAAATGCATTAATAATACGGCAAAGACTAAACATTCACAAGAGTTCCCTCTGTGTACCATTAATAGGGATGGGAATAGGCATTGTAAATTGGTAATGAGTTCTAATGTCTGCAGTTGGTTCAGCTTATAGAATGTTGATGTCCTGTTGAATATGTCAAGGATTGTTCTGAGCTTGTATCTTCTCACATCAAACCCATTTTCATCATAATCAAATCAGACACCCATGCATCAATTAGTGACAGCATTTACTCAGCCCTTGGATCGTATTTTCTTTGTGGTTTTCTATACATTTTAATTTCATCTGATAAATTTTGCTTTTGTATGCCAATAATGAATTTCGTAAATTTTCAGGCTATGCAATTTAGGGTGCAATTCATAACTTTTTTTTTGTCTCAGGGCAGTTCGTACGGGTTATTTAGTCTCATGTTTTGTATTGCTGTCTTTTGTCCCTTTTTGATACTTTTTTTATTTATTTATTTGAGATACTTTCTTTTTAGCCCATCCCAAAATGATGCCAACTTTCCTGATTCATCATAACTAACTTTTCTAGTTTCTCAATTCATCATTTGTCTCTAAATGTTTGACGTGATTTGATGCTCTTGGACTTACACGAGGGACAATGTTGCTTAAAACAGCATTACAGTTGTGTTTATTCTTTAATAAATTAATAAATATATTCAGCACAAATGTATCTTATAATTTGAAATGGAGGGAGTACGAAAATAAGGCTCATGTTGGATTCCTTGGAGTATCTACATTTGTTTTTAATCACGAGTATTAATAGATGAGCTACCACTCTACTACTTATCTCTTTTCCAAGTTAATTGCTAATGTAACTAATTAACTATCCCTCCTTGCACGTGTGCTATCTCGTTCTAACTCCAAATGATATAACTGCAGCTAAACTACTAATCATAAATTATTTCGAAAGAACTTATGCCTTCTGTTATACTACTAATTAGTCTAGCCATATTCTAATTCTCTATTTCTTTAATTAATAAATCATTCCTCAACTGTTTCCATTTCAGTGATTCTTTTGAAGAAACCACATAATGGCGACAAGGAATGCTTTGAGGTTTGTGTCTCGTAGGTTTTCCGGCAGTGGAAAAGTTCTTGGGAAGGAGGAACAAGCTGCAGAAAATGTGTATATCAAGGTGAATGCTTAGGTTTACGCATAGTTCTATCTGCACTTATCTTTTAAATCATCTGTCGTGATTTTTGTGTGTGAGTTTTCCATCCACTTCTGTAACGATCCCACACCGGTCAAGTATGGGCTTGACCGGTGGCTTATAAGCAAGATGTTCTCTCTTAATCGGCTGGCCTTTTGGGGGTGAGTTCTACACCTGGGCTTATGGTATTGGTATGGACCTAGTATGAGCTAGGTTCGTAACGATTGGTATCAAAGACATCCCCATCTTCCTAGTCCTGACACTCGGAGTGGTGGCTTATGGAATGGTGGCTTGAGCCCTGGAGGGTGCCAACCGTGACCAACATAGCTGTGACCAACAAGGACGTTGGCTATTCGAAGCGTGAGGTATTGTCACGATTCCACACCGTCAAGTATGGGCTTGACCGGTGGCTTATAAGCAAGGTGTTCCCTCCTCCTAATCGGCTGGTCTTTTGGGAGTGAGTTCTACACCTGAGCTCTTATAGTATTGGTATGGGCCTAGTATGAGCTAGGTTTGGAACAACTTTCCTCGTATCCATGGTTACATAGTTACATGTTAGACAATCATATTACTTAACCATATCGTACTTTGACCAAATATTTGGTGTGTAGTCAATTGAACTATTATAAATTAGGACACATATATGGCTAGAATCTACTAAGTAATGCATATGATGTGCTCATTTATATTTGCATGATCTAAAGGCAAATCAACAGAGCAATTTGGATCATTCAAAAAGCATTTATTTAATACATGTTGATGAAAAAGAGGTCTCTTCAGAAATCTATGTTTTCTAAAAATGAGTGCATGGTGTTAATGTGTTATGATGCTATTAAAGTTATGTTAGAAATTGCATTCAAGGAATCAATTCCACAACTTGAACGTCATGCGTCACTGAGTTGAATGCGACACCGAGTTGAACAAGAAACTAATCTGTTCCTGAAGCTTAAATGGACCTCCCTCACAACATTTACAAATTGCTCAAGATTTTGTAAATGATTATGATGCATCATTAGAACTTTCCTCCTTCACCCGTCTACCATCTGTTTCTAAATGTTTCACATTTATAAACACAGAAAATGGAGCAAGAGAAACTGGAGAAGCTCGCCCGAAAGGTATGTGCATTTTGACAGTTTCAGTGTTTCATTGAATTATCACCTCTGCTTTATTTATTTATTTATTTATTGGGGAAGCTGTCAAATAAGTCCTCGTACTACATAAAAAAAAATCAATTAAGTCATCCAATTAGCTTGTCAAACTATAAAAAAAATACTAAATTTCTCTTTTTAGCTGATGTGGCAGGGCATGTGGCTTTAATTATTTCATTTCTTTTTTATGCTGTTTTTGTTCTATCATTTTATATTTTAATAATATAAGACGTGTAGTATTACATTATCTTCCAATCAAGAGATACTAGCCAATTCAATTCTTATGCTGAATAGCTCATAAAACTCGCCGGATTGATTTTTTCTCCTTTCTAATTCCTTCTAATGTGTTTCATTATTTAAGCTTCTCGTTGGTTTACTATGTGGTCGGCGATTTGGTTTTCTGGCCGGTGGCAGAATGGCCAGCGGAATTGGCTCAATGGTTCCATCCTGCGTATGGATGAGGGGCGACGATGGTGAACGCGGATGGAGACGACGGTGAACAGCTACATGACTCCACGTTTCTTGAGTCTTTCCAATTACTGTGTTAGATAAGATAAAATTGAAAGAACTAGAATAAAAAAATTAGAAAAGTGAAAAAGAAAAATAAAGAATGGGAGAAGTCCGGGAGAAAGAGGAAAGGATGAGATGCATGGACATGTTTTCACGTCTGATTCACTTTGGATTCATTTGTGCAGTCATCCCTCAGTCATATGCATATAAAGTGCAATAACTTGAAACACGCGGTGTTCGATACAATGCCTACTTGGATGTGGTTAGTTTGAGTGTCTTGGCAGCATGTTCAATATAGAAAAAAGGACAAAATAGAAGAAAAAAAGCCATCTAGGCACTAAATGAGTAAATGAGAAATAGTTACCCACAATTTGATAGTTATCGGTTCAAAGTGTTGATTGATTTTTTTCATTAGTTGGTGTATCTAATTGGGTGATTTGATAGTAAGCGGGGACTTAGTTGACCTTTTTGACATAGTATGAGGCCTATTTGACAGTTTCCCCTTATTTATTTATTTATTTATTTATTTATTTATTTATTTATTTATTTATTTATTTATTTATTTATTTATTTATTTATTTATTTATTTATTTATTTATTTATTTATTTATTTATTTATTTATTTATTTATTTATTTGAACTCATGTGACGCACCTCATGCCCTCATTGTTATTTGCTTCAATCATATGGGTAGAGATGGTCCCATGATTTTGGGACCATCCATCTCACTCTGTACACTATGCAAGCCACATAATTTCAAAGAGACATTATTTAGTTGTTTTGTATGGTTTTAAGTACTACTAGGAGAGAAAGGCTTTCAAGCCAAATCGGAGTAAAGCCTAGCTCATCATCATCATTACCCTGGTTCAGCAAAGGCTCCCACCTACGGTGGGGTAAGGGGGAGTCGGATGTACGCAGTCTTACCCTTGTACTAAAGCACAGTGAGACTGTTTCCGAATGACCCATAGTGAAAACCGCGTCGAAAATTGCACAGACTCACTGTTACTTCATAACAAAGAAGCACAAACAGTTTAGTGAGCCATTTTGCTTTATTCCATCATATTCCCAAGCCAAAAAATAGTGAGTCTTTGACTCCATTGAAAATGATGGAAGTGGAGTAAAGCCTAGCTAAAATACCAAATTAGGAGTGTATGTTTTTATGCCTAACATGTGTTAAATTTAGATCACGTGACAGGATAAAGGAGGAGGGTGCTGTGGTAGGCGCGTGACGGCCAACAGTAGTACCTAGTCACATCACATGACATGAATCGAAATATGAATAGTGATATCATATATCGATTCATGTTAGCCGACCCCAATATCGTTTGGGACTAAGGCTTGGATGTTGTTGTTGTTGTATGTGTTAAATTTAGATGAAGAGATAAACTAACCTTCAATCATATTCTAGCCATATTAGTAGTATTTGAATTAAAAAGGAATATAAAATGCTATTGTGGTAGTTCTTGGACTCTTGAATCGTGAGAGTTTTGGTGTGTTACAATACACGAATGGTCTAGCGTTTAGGTGTTAGAACACAAAAAATCATGGCTACTCTGTCGTCACTTTCTGGCACTACTAACATTGTCACTGTGTCTACTCTACTCACTAGAACATCCACTCTATCACTACTAACATCTCCAGATTCTGGCCAGGACAACAAAACTACTATCAATGTCACTTTGCTCACACAACTTTGCTAACACTGCTACTTTGCCACTGCTAACACAGTTACCATGTCAATTCCACTACCTACACAATTACTATTAGCAATACCACAACGTGGAGTCCATTACGAAGATAGACCACTCCTCACATCATCATCGGCAATTTTCACCACCATCCACGTCATATGAAGACAGACCTTATAACAATGCAATCGACAAAAAGAAGCCAAAAGAAATTTATAAACCCAACTGCTGTGCAGTGTGCACCATCAACGTAAAAAAAACCTTAAAAGAATACAAAAGCAAGAACAAAAAGAAAAAGTGACACAACAGTGAACTACAAGTCATTTTCTAATGGCGTCAAGCTCAAATCCAACCGCCACATGAGAGACAGAGCAAGAGAACCACTGCAGGCATACTGCTCGGGGTTTGTTTGCAACTGCTTCTCTGTGCCTTCTCTGCTTCTTCTCGCCGCTGCTTGTCAGATTGGCTTTGTCACCATCGCCGCAACTGCTCGTTGAATCTGGTCTCGTTCATCTGCACCTAATCATCCTCAACTTGGTAGAGAAGATGAAGGAGATTGTGAAGCCGTGGAGGATTCGATGTCATACCATACAGTTGCTTGTTGCCAGATCTGATACCGCTGCTGCCCCATTGTTCATCATTTATTTTAAATGAAGTTTCATTGCTGAGCTTTGATTGATGGGTTGGAATTTTATTTATTTTTATAATAAACTGAACGGACATGAGATCTTTAAATTTGGAAGTGATGGAATAATGGTCTTATGGTCCTATTTAAATATGCAGGCTTAGTTTTACCCCTAGTTAGGGACCTTTCTATGATCTTAATTATCTCCACTAATTATCCCTAAGCCCTTGTTAGGTCCAACGAAATCAAGGTGGTCTTAGCGGACCACATCTCACACTTAGATCATCCTGATGTGGGAGTTCTTGATGTGTTCAAGTCACTTAGGAGGTGAATTTTAGAGAATTTTCTCAAATGATGATCCTCTAGCCCCAATCAATGCTTCGGCTCGACTCTAGCTGAAGTGTGTGAGTTAGCTTCTTGCTAGGAACCTGACATGTGTGAGCGTGTGACCAATCAGTGACGGTTCTTCCGGGTGATGTGTTGGAAACATGAGGACATGAGAAGTTGATCAATTAAGAGCGGCTTCTTGTTCATGGTGGTGTATAGATATTAGATAGACGTTGAGAACCTGACGGATTGATCGAGTGACTCGGATTTACATCTCTCAAGGGTTTGTGACGAATTCTTAGGAGCCCAGGATTGGTCTGGCAAAGTCGGGAATCGGGATCACCCGGTGTTAACAAAAAAATATAGGTGGGTTAGTATTTAGGTAAAAAGTGTAAGTAAATATATTCATATGATTCTCAATAGTTAATAGTGTATCAGTCTATATGTATAACAATAACAAAGTATAATACGGAGTATTTTTCTGTAAAATAGTGCACGTAAAAATTGAGAAAAAACAGCTTCCCAGTAGGCCAAAATACCCCCAATGGGGGGGGGGGGGGGGGTCAGTTATGGGTGGTTTTAAAGCTCTTATACTTTCCTCTCCTTTCCCTCTAACTCTGTACTTTCCTCTCCTTCCTCCAAAATCCTCGAACCAAGCAAAGTCATACTGAAGGAAATTGAAAATATACTTTCGCCATTTAACAAGAGCTAGATGATCATTCCATTTGTCATTTCGTCAATTTGTTTTAACAGGGCCCCACAGCTGAAGAACAATCAGCTGCTGGCTTGAGGGGTTCAGATTCTGTAACCGATGCCAAACCAGGTGTTAAGGCTTCATCCTCAACACCCGGGGTGTCTAATGACAATTACCGAAACTATGGGGTTTTGGCTGGAATCATAGCTGGTGCTGGTGCTCTGGGATGGTATTTGATGTCAAAGGAGGACAAGAAGGTAGATGTACAGGACTGAAGTATTACATATTTTTTTTAATAGGAAGCAAAACAACAACTGCTCTTGTCTATGTTCTTGTATGGTTTTCTCTTGGGTTTTGAACTTCTCTTCCATATTTGAACTCTCTAAACTAAAATTGATGTTTTCCTTAGCTTTTCATGAGCACTGAAATATCATTTTATGATTAGATTTTGTCACCCTTTCAGTTTTGATATTGAGTTTGGTGGCGGTAAATTTGATGCAGAAGCAACTCAAATGTGTGATTGAGCTCAACATATGTTTTTGTCCTGTTGGTAATCGTGAAAATAATATCTACAAAATGAGGGAATAGTGAAGTGTCATTCACATGCATTTCGGTAAAATGGTAAATATTCATGAAAACCGTCTTCAATAAGTATGAATTTGTTCGTTCAAAAAAAGTACTCCGTAAATCCGTATGAATCTGTTATTTTGATCAACCAAGTTGTGGTTGGTAATATATTTGGTTAATAAAGTGAACCATTCTTGGTGTACACCCTTTTGGGTACACCATTTGTACACCCTCTTACTAATTGCATTAACAAATTGCATTATTTATTATGAATTGCATTGGTTATACCACAAGTCCACAAGAATAAGGGGGTGTGTAAATGGTGTACCAATAGAAGATTCCTAATAAATTTGTACAAATTTGAGATGCCCAACTTTATTTTTAAGGTTCATTTGTCGAAATAAGTCTTCTCTATTTCTATATTTGTCACATATTTCATTTTTATTCGGATGTTTAGTATTCCCTATGGTTCTACTTATGGGAGGATCCAGAGGGGGGCAATCTAAGCCCCAACTCATCCTAAATTTAAAAAACACCTTAAATTTTAAGGAAAAATATTGTGTATATTGGCCCAGGGTTCCGCCTAGGCAATGGACTAGTTCCGGGCCGATCCAAACTAGACTTTTTATTGTTGGGTGAAGGCCCGGAACTGGCCCGGGATTCCACCGGGTACTGATTGGGCCGATTTTTTTTTTTTTTTTCCTTTTCTAATTAACCTCCCACCCCCAAAACACCCAGCCCAACCCGCCCATAACAAAAAAAATGAAAAAACAAAAAAAAAAATTATAGGCCTGCACCGGGCTTGACAGGTACCAAAGGAAGGGTAAGCCCGGAACCGCCCTGCCCTAACACCCTGGGCTGGTTCACCAGACCGGTCCGGGCCCGCATAGTGGCGGGCCTGGCCGGTTAGACTGGAGCCGGTTCCTGAGCCGGTTAGACCAGAGCCGGTCCATGCCTAGTTCCGCACTTCCGCCCCTTGATTTCTACGAACAATGAGAGTATGAGACATATGATGTTGTAGTCTGGAATCTGGATGATACGGATTTGTTTAACATGTACTCCAATATATGTTTAGAATTAATGATGTTTAATTGAAATGATGACTACGTACCCTATGCTTAATAATTCCTTATTATCATTATTAATGTTTAATTAAAATAATTAATAAGTTAGGAGTTAGGACTTATGGATGAAAATCTGAAATTATCAATTTTTAACGATCGAGTTGATAGCTATTTAAGTATACATTATTTTTCAGTTGTACAAAGAGAATATTACCCGCAATATGATTAAAAAGGTTTGAAAATTCCAAAATAGGATTGACATGTTTTTATTCCCAAAATAGGACTAATTACTGCCATGTTTTGGCAGTATCAGACTTCAAACATGACAGTATTTCCCAAACTTGACAGTAATTATTTCTATTTTGAGAATAAAAAACATGTTAGTCCTATTTTGGAATTTTCAAACTGTTTTAGTCATATTTCGGGAACTTTCCCTTGTACAAATCAATCGAGACATGCTTTATTCTATTAGTATCAAGCTGAGTAAGGGTATGTTTGCAACAGCTTATGCTTTAAAAAATATGCTTTTTTAATGAAATGGGGAAAAGTGATTAAATAAAAGTTGATAGTGTTTGAGAAAAAAGTAATTTTGAAAAGTAAAAGTTGGTAGTGTTTGGTAAAATAAGTGTTTTTTGTGTAATAGAAAAAGTAAAAGCACTTTTGACACGAAAGCTGAGAAAAATAAAAGTGGTAGTGTTTGTTAAAGTAAGTGCTTTTTTAAAGCCAAAAGTTGAGAAATGCTTTTTTTTAATGCGTTTGCAAACCAACCCTAAGAACCCTACAATTTTGGGTCATTTAGTGCCGGTTTTTTTTGGCTTAATTAGAAAATATCACTTGAAACATCTAAAAAATAAGTTATTTCAAGATATATTTTGATGTAAAAGATGTTAACTTTAGGGTTGGAGTACTCACAAATCATGACTAATTTGTCATCCATATAATAAAGTAAGTATATTACGTTATTCAATTGAAGAAAAAATTAATATATTCAGTTGAACATAAAATTTATTTTCATATAGTAACAAATTAAATAAATTAGTGGGAAAAGTAAAATTTATATAGGAGATTAATTAATAAGTTTTTTAAATTTATGGTTTTTTTTTGCTCGAAGAAGGCTTAATTCATAAAAATAGCATTCAGCAAGGGTACAAAAATTGAAAAGAACCACAAATAACCATCCGCCCGTGGCCGAGACTGAGAGCTAACCACCTGTAAAAAAACAGTATAACTCGCTAGACCAAAATTGGGCAACTTAAAGCCAATGACGGTTACCGCAGACTTTCCTTCCCCCAACCTTAATGCAAGAGTCTTACAAGGAATGAAAACACAAAAAACAAACATAATAAAACAACCTAAATTAAGATAACCAATGCAGACAATAATAAAAACACCATGACAAGTTTTCTTCCCCACCACCATCCAACGCCTCGGTGGTGGCTCAGGAGGGGGACGGATCATCAACCCTTCATCTTGAAACATTCCTTGCAAACTCACTACCACAAATTCCACTGACATCTTCTTAATCCTTATGATTATAGTCCAAATGAACCATGAATCCATGCTTACCTTCCCAATCGAAACCAGTGGCACAAGCGAGGAGTCCATAAGCCGAGCAAGATCACGATCCAGAACTGCTTTTATGGTATTCGTCACCACAACCAAACCGCACGACTCTCGCTGGCCGCCTATAGTCTCTCTGTGTAAAATCGAAACAAACAAAGGAAACCCGATCTTCGATCGTAGCGATCGAAATCGGAAGAAGAGGCCTAGCGGCTTACGCCCTAGGAAGAACAGGCCTAGCGGCTTACGCCCTAGGAAAAATCACGCTCTCCCATATTCACGCTCTCCCAGATTTTGAGAGATGAATTTTTGACACTAACTAAATTAAAAAATAACGTATGTGAAACTGGTTATTAGATTTCGATCATTGCATGAATCCAAAATTATCAAAAGACTAAAATGATAGGATACAAATCAATTTCAATTAATATGATTTACTTCATTTATACCAACAAAGATACTTAACTTAATTTTGAGGTTTATGGTGTTATTAATGGAAATGTTAAATCCTTCACAATGATTTTGTGGTTTTACACTTGTTTTAAAAAATAATTAAAAATATAATACTACATTACTACACCCTCTATTACGATGTTTTCTTTTGGACTGTTTTCAGTCCCAGACCAGACCAGACCAGACTTAAACAGACCAGACCAGACTTAAACAGTCCAAACTAGACCAGACCTGGATTTCTTAGTTATAAAATACACAGAGACCAGACGTTTACCAGACCAGACCAGACCAGTTCAGACCAGACCAGACTTAAACAGACCAGACCAGACCAGCAAATTTCAGTCCAAAAGAAAACATCCTTAGTACTAAAGTAGACATTATTTACGCTTGTCGGTCACTCGGTTGGGAGTATTGTTGAACGTTTTGAATTATTCAAATATAAAAAAGAGTAATATGTATATACTACGTATTAGTTTTTCTTTTTAATGATTATGACATAGATTTGATAGATATTTGATGAGATTAGATATTCAACCCTCGATTTATTTTGAGAAGTATACAAAACGTTTATTTGTAAATGTTTTACTCTTGGACAATAAGTGTTTAGAGTAATAATAATGGGGGAAAATGAAATTAATAATCCAACATTTTAGCTATTTTCTTACTCTCATCTAATCTTAATTCAAAAAAAATATAATCTTTGCACCCCATCTTCACTTGTTGGTCTCTGATTGGTTGATGACCTCTAAGTTATTTTTTTTCTTTGCAAAACACTAAACTACATTTCACCAAATCCCACATTTTACTAATCTTCTCCAAGTGGTCCCATACATTTCTTTTTTCTCCATAAAAGTTTTCATTTTTTATTTTTATCATTTGACTCTTTTGTTCTCTTTTTTCGTCTTCTTATTCTTACTTTTATTTCTTTTCCATGTTTATGTATTCCATCTTTTCTTCATTTTCTTCTTCCCATTAATTATTTCATTTTCATTTACATATATATTTTTAGATTAGTTTCTTTCTTATAAAAGATCTTTTTCTCATCGTACTGCCTTTTTACTTTATTCTCTTTTTACTTACATTTTTTTTCATTTTGTTACCACTAATATATTTTTGGGAGAATAGCTCCAAAATATGACTAACCTAATCCCTAAATGCATAAGTATGAGTATGTTATTTATGTTCTCAAAGTAGGACTAAATTTCACTCTATCTTCTTATTCTACCTTTACCATAAGTCCATAACTTAATAGGATAATCATATTTTACATTATAATAAAAAAGAAAAATAATAAAAAGTATTTCAATTTATAAAAATATAGGTAGTAGTAAAAAAATAAAAGGTAAAAAAAATGATAAAAACGAATAAAATAATAAATAGTAATAAAAATTAATTTTAAAAAAACTTTTAAAAAATGAAGATAGATAAAACACATTAAAAAATACCAGTAAAAAATTTGGAGGCGTTTCCCGCAGACTTGGCCACCTCCCAACAATGCCAACTCCAATCGGTGAAAAAAATGTCATTTTGTGTAAATACTTCAATTTTTTCTTTTTCTAAAAATGTCATGAATATGACGTTTTTACTCATTGAAAATGCTAAAATGTTCTCGAAAACTGCCAGCAAGATGTCATTTCTGACACGTGTTGGCGTTTTTTCTGGTGGTCGGAGCTAGTGGTGCTGGAAGGTTGTTGAAGTAGCAGCAGAGGCATGCATATTTCCTTTTTTACTTTTTTTTAACTTTATTTTTTTAAGAGATCGACGATCCCAAGTTCTTTTACCCCATTTTAATTTTATAATGTTTTATTTTTCTAATGTTTTAGTTTTATTAATTATTTATTATTCATAATTTTTATTAAATAATTATTTAATATTTTATAATTTTTATCTTTATTAATAATTTATAAATTTTATTAAATAATTATCTAATTATTTATATTTATTATTAATTATTTAATATTTTTAATTATTTAATATTTATAATTTTTATTAATTATTTAATATTTATATTTTTAATTAAATAATTATTTAACATTTATAATGTTCATCTTTATTACTTATTTAATATTTTATAATTTTTTATTTTTATAATTTAGGTGTATATTTGTTAATTTATTTAATATTTATTTTCGGGTTTCTTATTATTTTTGTACATTTTTATTTTAAATAAAGTTAAGCTATTACATTTATGTTTTAATTACTAATGAGATATGAATTGCACTAAAAGAAAAAAAGGGCAAAATGGGAAAGCTAGTCTTATTTAAGCAATTTTGAAGTTATACTCATATTCTTGCAATTAAAGTTTCTTTAAGCACTATTTAGGGAATTTCCCTTATATTTTTCTTTTTCTAAAAATTCTAAGAAAAATTGTTAACATGTAGCCCGGGAAAAAAATATAAAAAGAGACTACAGCAAATATGAATACATAAAAAGAAAACAACAATTTTAGGAAGAAAAAATAAAAATCATATGTGAGACAGTTTTGAGAAGATTTGTAGAAGAGGGGATTTATGATGGGAGAAGGGGGCAACTATACCCCTCAATTATTATAAGCAGCAAGTTTTTTCAAAAATATTACTAAAATAAAATATATTCACACAAATATGACTAATAGTTATTACTATGTAGTGTCATGGTAACTTAAGTTTAAAAATTGAACATAAGTTACCATAATTTCATTAGTATATTTATTTTAGTCATAAATATGTAATTATTTCTATAGGGAGAACATATATACCCTCAATATATTTTTTAGCTCAAAGAAACTCGCAAACCAATTTTTGTGGTCTAAAAATACCCATCCTTTAGATTTACATACAACATCTATTTTTCTCTGAACGACTTAACAAACTTTTCAAACCCCCATTTTTTTCAAGGAACCCCCATATAAGATATGAATATAAGAAATTAAATAATGAAAAGAGAATTAAATAAAAGACACATCCTAGGAGAAATAGCATTGTACGTCTGCACAAAAGATATTAAATAAAATCCCTATGCTCGTCTAATTTTAGCTTTAACGTTGGTTGCTTCAGAGAAGAACTCTTCAAATGGCTTCTTTCACCAATTTGAATGTGCAGAATCGCTCTAAGGTATTAGCTTCCTCCTCATCTTCTTTAGCCATCGTGTTCTTTCACCTTATCTTCGAGTTGGTCAATTAAAGTAGTAGAGGTCAATTAGAATAGTAGCTGGATCAAACTAACTCATCAAACATATTGATTCATTAAGATGGAACTGAATCACCTTTTAAAAACTATGGCAGTGAAATATGGTTTATTGAGATCCATAATATGACTTGCCTAATATATTTTCCCTCTAGGAACATGTATATGTCTTATCACATAGTAATGCATGCACATGTAATGCTCACACAATAGCACATGTAAATGTTAGTACTTTCTTTGTATACGTAGGAGTGCATGCACATGCACTTGTATTGCAATAATTCTCTCTCCCTTAGCAAGGATAGGCCTCCCATGTAATATAAATATATCTATCCGTATGACCAGGAAGATAAGAAGAAAAATACGAGGCTTCTATTTGTGAAGTATTCTCTCCTAAATAATTCCAGTATATTTTACTTTAGCCAATTATATATTTATCCATTTATATTTTTATCTTGGTATCAGAGCCGAAATCCTGAAAATAGTATATATATATATTAAAAAAAAAAATCTCTCCATATTATTTTTGTAAGAGCCCTTTACCCTATCTTCTTCTTTATTCCCTTTCTAAATTATGGCGGGTGATGGTGAAACCAAGGCCAAAGACATAGTCATTGATTCCATGTCACCTTATTTTATCCAATCCGGAGATAAGCCCGGAGATATCCATGTTACTTTGACTCTTCGAGATGGAAACTATGGAGATTGGCTCGATGAAATGAGCAACGCCCTATATGCCAAAAATAAATTTGGCTTTGTAAATGGTGATATACCGATGCCTCAGTCCGACTCACCATACCTTCCATATTGGCAACGAGCAAATGCCATGGTTAAAGGTTGGCTCAATAGTAGCATGGAGATGGAGCTAAGGCAAAGTGTGAAGTTCAAAACGGCCCAAGAGATCTGGACTGATTTAAAAGAAAGATTTGCGAAGGAGAGTGCTCCACGCGCTTATGAGCTTCGGTGCTCCCTTAGCAACATTCGACAAGATGGCCAGTCTATTTCGGCCTATTTTAGCAGGTTACGTCGTGTGTGGGATGAAATGGTCTCTATAAACACGGCGCCTAATTGCACGTGTGGTAAGTGTTCGTGCAATATTTCTAAACAGATAATTGATTCCCGCGATAGAGACCGTCTTTATGATTTCTTGATGGGTTTGGACGATGCTTATGCACAATTGAAGAGCCAGATTCTGGCAACAAGGCCGGTTCCTACTCTCACCGCCGCATATCATCTTGTTTCAGAGAGTGAACAACACAGGTCTATCACATCCGCACGCAAACCAGGTGGTGATGGTACGGCTTTTTACACACAAACTAAAAGAGAGCCAATTCCAGGACGACGTTCAACTGCAAAGGAAAGTCGGTCTTGCTCCTATTGTGGAAGGACTAACCATACTTACGATGCATGCTTTGCACGTATTGGTTATCCACCCAATTGGAATATTAAAGGAAAAGATAGTAGGCTGCCAGGGACTTTGACTCAAGCTAGAATTGGTGGAGACCCACGTGTCTCACGTGAAGGAGGAATCCGTGAGGTGCTTACTTCCAACCGCAATAATCCTTCACCTCAAATAGCACATGTGGACAGTAAACAAGGCAACCAATTGGGAATTTCTGATGAACAACTCCAAAAATTGGCCAGACTTGTAAGGCATGTGCTACAGGACGAAACAAGCACACCCTCATCTTCTAATATCAAAATAAATATGGCAGGTACACTATCAAAAGGCCGCACCTGGATAATAGACTCCGGAGCAAGTGAACACATTATTTATAATAATGACGGTCTCATTGACATCCGGACTCATATTCATATACCGTCTGTCAAGATTCCTAACGGTGATTCGGTTCCGGTTCAAGCTATTGGCAGCTTGGATTTATTTAACGGACTCCGCTTACAACAAGTTTTGTATATTCCGGAGTTCCGGTGTAACTTACTTTCAGTTAGCCGCCTTACAAAAGATACCAACTGTACACTCACATTTTTTAATGATTTGTGCACTTTGCAGGACTTACCCTCGAGGAAGCTGATTGGGGTGGGCCGACTCCGTGATGGTTTATACTACCTTGAAATTCCAATAAATGAGAAGGTGGCAATGTCAGTTTCTCTCCATCATGATTTATGGCATCAACGTTTAGGACATGCTTCTGACGAAAAATTAAATTTCATCAGTTCTCTCCAAGGTTTCAGACGGAGCAATAATTTCTGTGACTCATGCGTACGAGCCAAACAGACTCGTTTGCCTTTTCCTGTCAGTACCATTAAGACAACTCGTTGCTTTGAATTAATACATTGTGATATTTGGGGCGGCTATAAATGTGATTCCATTTCCGGTGCACGTTATTTCATGACTATAGTAGATGATTTTACAAGGGGTGTTTGGGTTTACTTAATGAAAAATAAATCAGAAGTTCCCCAACTTTTGATTCAGTTTTTTAATTTAGTAAAAACCCAATTTGAACAATGGGTTAAACGAGTCCGGGCAGATAACGGTGCTGAGTTTCAAACCAGATTTTTATCTGATTACTATAACCAAAATGGAATTTTGTTGGAAACATCATGCACCGACACACCACAACAAAATGGTGTTGTTGAACGCAAACACAGACACATATTAGAAGTTGCGAGGGCACTTCGCTTCCAAGCTGGATTACCAATTAATTTTTGGGGAGAATGTATTTTGACAGCGTCTATATCATTAATAGACTTCCATCTCCCATTATAAAAAATAAGACTCCTTATGAAATGTTATTTGGGAAAATACCAAATTATGATCATTTGCGGGTTTTTGGTTGTCTGGTATATGCTCATAACAATAAACAAAAGGATAAGTTTGGTGAGAGGGGGAGTCCTTGCATATTTATCGGATATCCTAATGGGCAAAAGGCGTATCGGGTCTTTGATCTTCACAAACAAATCATCTACAGCTCTAGAGACGTAACCTTTTTTGAAGAAAAATTCCCGTTCAAAATTTCAATCTGTCCGGAAGTTGACTTTGAAGTACTAGTTGATAAGATTTATCAACAAATCACAAATGACGCTCCAGGAAATTTTTTGGCTGATCCATCACATGGCTCCTCTTGTCCTTATTCAGCCAGTGAATACATCCCACCTTCACAAGTGAACAACCGGCGTACAGAAGGAGACCCCAACTTCAATGACCAGGCCCCACCTCACATCACCAAGTTGCATGGAAACTCCTCCCATGGGCAGCAGCCTAGCGTAGATGAGCTGCAGATCACCATTCATCAGCCACCCATGAAGGACCCACCGTCGGCAAGGGCTGACCAGTCTGCACAGCCGGCCCTTAGCACGGACAACCCAATTTTTGGAGTCTCTCAGCCAACTGGTACTGACGATACCATGCAGGTCCCGCAAGAAACTACACTTCTGGATAATAAGCAGTCGTCTCCCACCGTCATGCAGCAGCTGTCGAATTTAATTGAGTCTCAATCAGCACCCAATGAGCCCCACCGACGTGCTAGAGTTCGGAAACTCCCTAAGCACCTAGCTGATTATGAAACTGACTTGCCACCCTCTCTTTCTCCATCACGGACCACTGCCAATCATGCTGCCACGAAGGTATACCCAATTTCACAATTCATTAATTATGAAAAATTTTCTAACACTCACTGAGCCTATCTTGCTGCCATCACATCTCGTGATGAGCCTAAAAATTTCTCACAAGCAGTACGAGATCCTTTATGGAGAGAAGCAATGCAAAAAGAAATTGATGCATTGGAACAAAATAACACATGGGCACTTGTCTCATTACCGCCAGGAAAGAAGCCGATTGATTCAAAATGGGTTTATAAAATTAAATATAAACCTAATAGTGATGTGGAGCGATACAAGGCTAGATTAGTAGCCAAGGGATTTACGCAAGTTGAAGGTGTTGACTTTCACGAGACTTTTGCCCCTGTGGCCAAACTTGTTACAGTTCGGTGTGTGTTAGCAGTTGCCGCCAAGAAAAATTGGATTGTACACCAATTGGATGTAAACAATGCATTTCTCCACGGAGACCTTTCTGAAGATGTCTACATGCGTCTACCGGCGGGATTTACCAAGGAAGGGGACACACGTGTTTGCAAACTACAAAAATCCTTGTACGGGCTACGACAGGCATCCCGTAATTGGTACCAAAAATTCACTCAAGCCCTTATTGGGGTCGGTTTTCATCAATCTAGGGCAGATCATTCACTCTTTATTTTTCAGGAAGGATCCATTACTACCTTTGCTCTCATCTATGTGGATGATGTTATTTTGGCCGGAAACCATCTTCCTCATATTGACCGAACCAAAAATTATTTGGATGCAAAATTTAGCATCAAAGATTTGGGGAAGCTCAAATACTTCCTTGGCATTGAAGTTGCCCGTTCTCCCGAAGGATTTGTTTTAAGCCAACGCAAATATACACTGGACATTTTAGAAGAAAGTGGGTATCTTGCTAGTCGCCCTAGTTCATTCCCAATGGAACAAAATTTAAAACTAAGGCCTGACGATGGTACCCCACTTGTCGATGCCTCATCCTATCGACGACTGATTGGGCGACTCTTGTATCTCACTGTGACCCGCCCAGACATCGTATACTCTGTCAGTCAGCTTAGTCAGTTTCTTAGTGCCCCACGCCAAACTCATTTTGACGCAGCTATTCGGATTCTTCGCTACTTAAAGAACACTCCTGGTCAGGGTATTTTCTTGTCATCCAATGATGACATCATTCTCACAGGCTATTGTGATGCTGACTGGGCTGGTTGCTCATTTACTCGCCGATCTAGTACTGGCTACCTCATCACTCTTGGTTCCTCTCCCATCTCATGGCGAACAAAGAAACAGTCTGTCGTCTCCCGCTCCTCCGCCGAGGCAGAATACCGAGCAATGGCTGTTACCGTCAGCGAGATTTTATGGTTGCGATGGCTACTACGAGATCTTACCATTTACCAAACAGGTCCCACGTTACTTTACTGTGATAACCAAGCAGCCCGACACATTGCCCTTAATCCCGTTTTCCATGAACGCACCAAACATATTGAAATGGATTGTTATTTCGTCCGCGAACGGGTCGCTAGTAATGAAATCCTACCCCAACACATCTCAACCGTTCATCAAGTTGCTGATATATTCACCAAAGCACTCGGTGCTGAACGTTTTCAGTTTCTTCGTAGCAAGTTGGGTGTTCGTAACCTACACACTCCATCTTGAGGGGGAGTATTGAGATCCATAATATGACTTGCCTAATATATTTTCCCTCTAGGAACATGTATATGTCTTATCACATAGTAATGCATGCACATGTAATGCTCACACAATAACACATGTAAATGTTAGTACTTTCTTTGTATACGTAGGAGTGCATGCACATGCACTTGTATTGCAATAATTCTCTCTCCCTTAGCAAGGATAGGCCTCCAATGTAATATAAATATATCTATCCGTATGACCAGGAAGATAAGAAGAAAAATACGAGGCTTCTATTTGTGAAGTATTCTCTCCTAAATAATTCCAGTATATTTTACTTTAGCCAATTATATATTTATCCATTTATATTTTTATCATGGTTTGACAAAAATGGAAATCAAGAATAAAAATGGGTTAGAGCATTCATCCGTGTAATTGTTTACAAAGTCGAGAAGAAATAGAGTCATTCACAAGATGAAATTGAAGAACAAATTGAGTCATGGTGGTGTTAAGGGATGGTTACTAAAGGGTCTTTTGTACCTCAAAGTTGATTTTAAAAGTTTTTTGAGCCAAAATATACATTAAGATTTAAGGTTATACATGTTCTCACGTTATAGAACGGGGTATATGTGCCCTTATCCCTTTAATGATTTCCAAATAAAATGAAAAAATCTAGAATAACAGTTCATCAATCGGTCAGAGATCAGCGAATGAAGATGGATTCAAATGTTGGATTATTCATGAATTACGATTGGTGGGAGTATTATAAGAAAGGGGTTTTGACCTCAATATTATTAAAAAGTAGATAAATGACAAAAAAGTGGCTTTATTGTTTAATTTTCAAAAATGTGACCGATATGTTTTAAACTTACTAAATTACCCTTGCAGTGACTTTATTTTACAGTTACAATACCGGCCACAGTGACACTCTCTACAGTGACACCCGCTATAGTAACCACCGGCCACCGGTCTTTGACCACCGCCACCGCCACCGCCGTCGCCGCCGCCACAGTGACACGTCCTCAGTGACACATCCACAGTGACGCTCTCGACAGTGACACCCGCTAAAGTGACCACCAGCCACCGACCACCGTTGCTATTGCCGCCGCCGCCACCACCACAGTGACACGTCCTCAGTGACACATCCACAGTGACACTTCCAAACTTCCGTATCATTAATCAATTTTTACCACTGGAAATCACCAACATCCACCACCGCTGTGTCCTCCACCGCCCCTGCCCAACCCTCTCTCCGAACTTCCAGCTCCATCCCTTACACAGTCAATGCCCCACCCCCTCACCGCATCCCCCAGCAGATCCAGGCCCTGAACCACCACGGACCCACCCCACACCTCGTCACACACCTCTGTGCCACCGCCACGACGGCGGCTACATAGCGACGAGACGGAATATGTCTCCAATCGCATCTGACTACCAGATGCGGACCCTAGCCCCAACGATGCCAATTGTTGCCGGAATAGATGATATGAATTCGTAATCGTGCCACGCCACTTCCCTGCGTAATAGATGATGTAATCCTCGCTCGCCATCGTCAGATTTACACCATCTCCATGCTGCCACCATCGACAGGTTGCCTCCATCACAAGTTTTGAGATTCGTCGATGAAGAAGAGAGAAGAAAACAGAGACTTACCTGTGGCGTCCGTACGACATGGAGACGATGACGTGAAGATGGAGGCGGCGTGGAGAAGGTGATGGCTTGTGGATGGCGGCGGCGTGTAGAAGGTGATGGCCTGTGGATGGCGGCGGCGTGGAGTCGGTGGAGAATGTGTTGGCCTGCGGCTGTGCGGCTGATGGGAGAAGAAGCGATGTTGCGATGTTGCGTGTGGAGAGAATGACGAAAATGAATTAGGGCTGGAGGGCATTAAAGTCCGTCTACATTTTGTTAGTAACGTTTTTGGTTAAATGGGATTCCAGTCATATTTTTGCCTTTAACAACTCCATAACTAATATTCATGCCATTATTTCTATAAGAAAACCGCTAAAAGGTTGAGTTATTAGTTTTCATTTTGCCTAATAATAGTTCAACGTTAGTAATATTAAATATAGGAATGTTATCGCCTGGGAAGCTCATGCACTAGTGTATTAATATTCCTCAGTCACAGTAGCAACGGTTCAATTGATGGGTCAATTGATGCATGGTAAACTGCCCTCAAACGTTCACTTTGTGTGAGTGTATATATACTAGCTACTTTGTTTTTAGACTATGCAGCTATTGATTCAACCCCCTAATATGACATTTCTGTTCATTAAATCCCCAATACTAAGATATTTGATGAGAATCCGAATCACCTATCCTCTAAGTGCATGTTTGATAGGCATCCGTCTCCGTCTTTTAGCTTTTGAACGATTAAAAAGTCTCCAAAAACTTATAGTGTTAGGTTTGGTAGGACAATTTTTAAGAACTTTTTACAAAATAAAAGATTTTTTATTGAGATGCTACTACAGTTGGTAACATTTGGGAGAAAGCCAGTAGCTTTTAGCATTACTTAGTCACAACAGGTTGTTATACCAATTACCAAACAAAAGTAAATCAAACAGTCAACATTTTATCAAACAACTACAACCTTTTCATTTTAAGATTTTTTCAGTCACTAGAAACTAACAATTATTGAAAAGCTCATAAAAGTATCTTTTCAGTCACTTGTGCCAAACATACCCTAAATGTTGTTTGAACTTGTGGGCAAAATATGAAAATGTCAATTTTAAATATTGGACTTAATAGCAATTTAAGTATAAATTAGTTCAATTTAGATATACTCAACTTTATTAGTATTAAAGTACATATCTTACTCGGGTGTAATTATCTCACACATCTCCCCCCCACCCCGCCCTAAACCTGGTATCATCCTTCCCTGCGCGGCAGATGCCCACGACCTTGTCCCCATTGCCATCCTTTTAATCTAAATACGAATTAAGGATTAGATTCAAAATAATGAAAAACTGAAGGGTAAAAATGCAAGAATTATTAGCTAGCTTATGTTATCCAAAAATATCATCAAATTCACAAATCTATCTTATTCTTTTACTTTTATCAAATAAATGACTCAAACTTCATCATTTTCAACAATTATATATTTCTTTTTTTGTTTTTCAAAATTACACATTTTTATCAAATCAATAAAATATAAGCAATACAAGTTTGTAAACTTAAAATTAGAAAGAAGTGAACAAATATGAAATATAAATATGATTTTTTCTTAAATTTTACTTATTAACCAATTGAAAGCGTAAGTGTTAAAAGTTGAAACTTAAGTCTCTTCTAAATGATAAAAGTGAAAGTATATAGAAATAACTGCCCGTATATGACATTTGACTTTTCAAATTACAAAAGTATAACCCTTTTTCCTTTTTCTAAAAATGTGACTCAGCTTCTTTTCGCAATCTCTCCAGTGCGTCTCCTCCCCTCCCTGCGCAATCCGTGCTTCTTCTCCCCCTTCCCTGCGCAATATGCCTTTTCTTCTCCCCCTCCCCTGGGCATCAAATCGCATGCAACAAACGGCCAATCTCACCTCCAACTCGCCCCAAACTCGCCGCACAAGACGCCTTCGCCTCCGTCTCAGCCTCGTTGCGCCTCAAAACCTCCGCATAGGCCGCCTCCGCCTCATCCTCCCCGCGCCTCACTCTCTCCGCACAGGCGCCCTCCGCTTCAGCCTCTCCTCGCCTCGCCTCAGCCTCTTTGAACAGGCTGCCTCCGCCACACCTCGCCTCACATGCCGCCTTCACCCGCCTTGCCTCAGATGGAATGGTCAGATCTAAGATGACGAAGAGTAACGACCAGATCTGGGGAATGGTGGTGGCTAGGGTTCAGTTGCGGGTGGTCAGTGGTAGAGCTTGACTGTTCAAGGTGGGGCTGGGAAAGGATAGGGGACTAGGGGTTGGGTTGGGATCTGGAGTGTATAGCCAGGGCAGGGGAGGGGGATGGGGACGGGGTGGCGGTTGTGGACGAAGAATGGGCGTCAGCAGTGGACGGTGGAGCGGTGGTGGCTGGGGACGAGAGAGGGCGACAGTGGCTGGGAACGGGGAAGGGCGGCGGTGGCAGCTTTGGCTCGAGAGTAAGATGGCAGGGCATCAAAAAACTTTCTGGCGGCCATATGGCCGGTGGGCGTCCAGTCACTGTGATGAGAGTCAGTCACTATGGCCGTTGTCGGTCACTGTGACTGACGGAGGTCACTGACGAGGGGAGGCGGCAGTCACTGGACGGAATGATGGCTGTCACTGGACTGACGGCAGAGTCACTGTGGCTTCGGAGTCACTATGGCGGCAGTCACTGACTCACTGTGGCGGCAGTCACTGTGGCTGGAGTCACTTTGGCCGGAGTCACTGAGATAGTGACTGCCGGCGGGGGCGGAGGCGGTGGCGGCGGTGGCGGCGGCAGTGGTAGTGCTGGGGTCGGCGGTCCAGAGGTGCTAGTAGCTGCAAATGTATAAAAGGAATATTATAAAATAAATACTAGTATATGATTAAATATAAGGAATAAATGACTTTTAGTCATATTTTTGGAAAAATTCAAAACATGTCATTTTTTTTATCTTTTTTATTCATTTTGGTAATATTGGAATAAAAAGGCCAAGTATATAATGAATTTATGAAATTAATGATAGTTGGACATATTTAGCTAAAAATCGAAAATGCAAAACAAAATACAATTGAGGCGTGAGATTTAGGGTTTGTTTGCAAATGCTTGTGCTTAAATAAAGGCCTTTTATTACCTATATTACCAATTGAACACGGAAGGCCAAAAAAGTGAGCTAAAACACAAAATTCCAATAATATGACTATTTGTTGTAGAGTAGTTATACGGAGTAGTATTTCGCAGTGACTGCAGTAGTATGTCGTGACTTCCAATGTCAGTTACTTCCAATGTAAGTGACTACCGCCGCTAGTGACCACCCCGTTCAGTGACTACCGTCGCAAGTGACCACCTCGTTCAGTGACTACCGCTGCTGCCCCCGATTAGTGACAGTTGCCGCACCCAATGGCTGCCGCACCCGTCCAGTGTCATCATCGCCTCCCATCCAGTGACTGCCGTCGCCGCCCCATCCAGTGACTACCGTTGCCGCCCTGTCTAGGGACTATCATCACCGCCCGTCCAGTGAATGCCACCTCCTCCCCAATCAGCGACTGCTACCCCCACCCCGGCAAATGAAAACTCCGTAGTTTCATAATTTACAGTCACCGCCCGCCCTGCCCGCCGCCCACCAACACTGCCGCCCGCCATCTCACAGTCACAGCCGCCCGCGGCCTTCCATTTCACTGCCACTGCGGTCTCACAGTACACCGCCCAACAGATCAACTGCCCAACTGCCATCTCTCCCCTTCCCCACACCACAGCCACCCAAACCCCAGTCCCCACCCCTGCCCTGCAAATCCCCCTGACCTGTCCCCAGCCGCCCTCTCGCAACCCTCAAGTGAGAGATCCTCTGGTAACCACCACCACCGTGATGGCCGACCAGCACAAAGCAACGCCCGCCACAGATTTGCAAATCTAGGTAGTGGTGAATAATCTGGATGACGGATGGGGAGTCGGCGTGGTGTAAAGTGAAGATTAGAACCAAGAGGAAGCATCCGAACTAGGAGCGTGTCCTGGGCTAAGACAGAGACTAACTGATAGGAGTGCTGTGACAAAGAGCCCGTTGCTGGTAATTCAAGCCACAGATCTGCAAATCCAGCCGCCACGCCACCGATTTGGAAGCCATCTCCACCGCACAGCACCAACAATTTATTGTGAAGAAGATCAATCTGTCAACCCACTGAAAAGAAAGAGATGAAATAGTGAAGAAATGTTGGATGACAGGGCAGCGGCGAGCGGCTTGAGGCGCGGCGAGCGCCGAGCGGCAAGCGATGATGGCGGACGGCGTAGGTATTTTGGTGATGCTGGAGGTGCTAATTCCATGGGAGAGATGATGCTGCTCGCGGATGATGATGATGCAGAGATGAGAAGCGGGTCACATATCAATTATGAAGGGAGAGAGGATGCGGCTCAAAGATACGGCAGAACAGTTTAATCACATTTTTGTCAAATTTAGATTTAGTCATATTTTTGTAAATGCAAAGTTGAGGGATAATTTTGAGGTCATTATTTTCTTAAATAAAAGCACTTTTTGGAAAAAAGTGATTAGTAGTAAAAGTTGGTAGTGTTTGGTAAAATAAGTGTTTTTTGTGTAATAGAAAAAGTAAAAAGTAGATTCTACACGAAAACCGAGAAAGTAAAAGTTGGTAATGTTTGGGAAAATAAGTGCTTTTCGTAAAAGTGCTTTTTTTAAAATAAGTGCTTTTTTTTAGAAGTGATAGCAAACAGAGCGTTAGAGAAGGGAAACTGGGATACGACGGTACTAGGGCGCGGACGGCAATCGGAGCTCCTCGACGGAGATGAGGATAGTGCAGAACCTGTCTTCAAAGGCAGTGCACTGAACAAAGGAAAATCTGCAGGGGTTCAGAAACAACCATATCCTTCGTAAGGGCCCACCTATTGATCTCTTTTTTATGTTGTCCAGAAAAAAGTGTTGCTTATGCAGATCGAAAGTCGTCGGATTTTTCGTTTTAGCAAACTGCCATTCGTCTGGTTTTACTTTTCGCTATGGTGCTTTGTTTTGGAGTTCTGTAGTTCCGATTTTGCATCTGAGTTCTGCCGTCACCGGGTAGTTCTAGACTTATAGTTCGGTGGCGTCTGCAGAGTTCGTGATTTTTAATTTTTATTTTACGAAAAGGGCAGAGGTTATTGGAGAAAGTGATCTTTGTTTTTTTAATGGATTTTTCTGGGCAAACTGGAAACTATTTCTTAAGGGGAGGATAGTTCAACAGGAGGATTGATTGATTAACAGATTAAGAGGATGAAATGATTTTTATTCCCGTAGTTTATAACATTTAAGCTACTTACCAGTAGTCTAGTATATAGGAATAGAATAAGAAAATGTCTCATGATCTTCATCTTGCTATCCTTGATCATCTCTTTTGTTTAGGAGCTTATGTGCTTAGAGTCGTGCATATACCAAATCAGATTGTATCATCCTCGTTCACGAAGCTCATTCGGAGGATTTCCTGGAAAATCAATAGATATTTCTGCAAAGTGATGTCGTTTACTGATGAATTCGAGACTAGTATGCTTCTACTCTCTCTTTACATCATTCTATTTGTATGTCTGTCATGTTTAATTCACAATGCTTTATATAGGTAAACTCCACATTGTGATATCATGTTTATTCTATACTCCATTACTTTCTTTGAACCCATTAAGTGTTTGAGATTCTGAAGCATCCAATAATTTGGAGGTAATGTTAACACTTCACATGGAAATGGTTAAGCTTTGGGATCCACACCTTGCTTAGGAGTGTTTGGATCTACTTCTTCAAACTGCTTTTGCTCCCTAGGCTTCTGCTCCTTCAGAGAGCAGAAGCAGATATTGAAGTGTTTGAGTGATAGTATAGAAACACTTTTTGGGTGCTCCAAGTTGCTCCTAGAAGCAGCTTTTTAGAAGTTGGGGGAGACTGGCTTCTGAAAAACTGATTTTGATCTTGATTTTGATTATGCTTTTAAAAATGAAGCAGAACCAGAATCAATTCCAAACACCTCCTTATACTTTTGTTAAAGCAGAAACGCATTAATGCAGATACTCCATATTATTTTGAGATGGGAGTACTCTTTATTTAATAGCGAATAACGATTTTGAATGTCAGTATTACCCTCTGCTCTATTATTAAATGTAGTACGAATTAATACATAAATAATTAAATAAATACATTATAACTATATGTGGCAAACACATGCACAGTTGCATACATTGACTCATAATGATACCTAAAAAAGGCATGAATGACTTCACTTGAATGTATTTTTATATGCCCTCTGGACAACTTAAAACAATGGGACTCCTGGGAAGGGGACAACCAGTTATGTCAGGCCCGGCTATTTCTGTAACTACTCTTGGAGGGCGCACATTCATGTGGACGATTGATCTCTTTTCTATCTTTCCTCTCTCGTTTTCTTTTATCATTTATCTTCTTTGTCTTTCTATGTTCTTATGTTATTTTTATCTTCTATCTTTGTTATGCTCTTTTATCTGTTTATAATTTATCTTTCTTATATTATGTTGTTATCTTATATTTATCTTTATCTTACCCTTTTTATCTTATTATCTTTGTTCTCTTTTTGGCACCGATATCATGGATCGATTCATGTTAGTCGACCCCAAAATCTTTTCAGATTAAGGCTTGGATGTTGTTGTTGTTGATTCAATATTAAGCTTGCATTTTTTTTTTTACAGATTTGGCTGTAATACCAAATCTATTACAGAAGAAGTATGCATTGATGCGTGATCTAGACAAAAGCTTACAAGGTATGATGATTCTACATTATTTATGAGCTTTCCATCCTATTCATATCTGAGTTTCTCTTATACAAACCATTTTATTTCTACTCACAGATATTTTTACCCAATATTGCACACATACAAACTTGTTAAGCAAGCCGTTTATTGTTGTCAGAAGTGCAGCGGCAAACTGAGCAGCGTTGTAAACTGGAAATTGAGGACATGAAGCAGCGTATTAAGACTGGTAATATTACCTCAGACTCTTCACTTATCAAGTTCTCGGATGATACACTGGATGAACAAAAGCATGCGATCCGGATTGCTGACGAGAAAGTTGCATTAGCCATTCAAGCTTATGATATAGTAAGTATGAAACACTACCTTCTGCTGTAACTAAAGCCAAAATCTATGCCCATGATTTGCATTTCCCTGCTAAATCAAGTTTATTTTATGTGTGTATACGTGAACTTTGCCAGTATTTGTTTTTTTCCCATAAACCTTCAGAGATGCACTTTCGGATTTTCCTGATCACTTACTTGTTTATAATAGCTTCAGCAGAAGAGGAGCAGTCTATTACTCCATCGATGCTTATTTAGGAAAAAAAGAATCATTAGACTGATTAGCAGTTTCTAAGTTTGAATTTTCGGGGTATTTTTCTTCCTGATTTCCTGCTCAATAGTTTGATAGAGTATTGCTATCTGTTGATGGATGCTTGTTATTGGAAAAATAACACACTCAATATTTTTAGGTAAAGGTAAACGGTGATATGTTTTCTCAAAATTTCTATGAAAGAAGTAAAGGTAAATAGTGATATGTTTCCCATTAATTCTACAATAAAATGACTGTGTAATTCTGTCTGGATAAGAATTGGAAATGATAAAGAGAGAGAGACACCATGCTATTTTACGCTTCAAGACACAAAATTCTTAAGTATGTGATTTTTGCTTCATGTCCAAGTGCGTCATACTGCAATATTCTGTCTCTCTGGTTCTTACCCCCATGTAATCCTGCACATATTACGTGCACTAGAATTTTAGAACTTCAACAAAAAATTGATTATTTCATTGTTTCTATGAAGTCATGATAGGAACCTCCAGATTCCAGAACAGTTACAAGAAGAGTAACAAGAAATCAGATGAAGAATTTTATTCAAGAAGATATCGATTACAGAAAAGAAACAATGAACAAGGCCGAAGCCCCCAAAGCCGAAGCCCCAAAAGTTCGAGATGTTCAGTCTCGTATCCTTCCCAGTCCCAAGACCAAATGTCTAAAAGCCTTTCTTAACTCCTCCCAGCTCTCTTCTATTTATACTAACTAATACACTTATTGGTTTATACTCTAATAGGCCCGGTCCCTTATTATTATTATTAGTCTATTAGGCCCGGGTTCCTATCAATACTCCCTCCCTAAACATCCACCTTGCCCTCAAGGTGGGTGATAGGACACCGCCACAATCTTCTTCTTTCCTTTCATCCTAGCACCTCTCCCTTTCCAATACTGGATGGATTTCTGGATTCTTAGCTCAGCTGCTTCCATCTTCTTACCTATGCCTTTCAAAATAGATTTACACCGCTGCCAGGAATTTTTGTCCAGAAATTTGACTCTTTCCGAGTCCCTGGAGGTTAGGGCCCAGCCATCTGCAACACCGAGTACATCAACTTCCTGCTCTTGAACATTTCCTTCTGAAATATCGATATATAATCCATGAGAATTCAGTAATTCTCCTACTCCTTTAGTATTTATCATCCCCTTCATCTTCTTGTCAGTTTTCAGTTCTCTTAATAAAGGATCTCCGTGTATATTTGCCTTCTGCCCATGTACCTCCCATTGAATGGTCTGATTCTGAAAGTTAACTGCCATATCTCCTAGCCCAATAAGCCATTCCATTCCTAGAACAATGTCAATACCTCCTAGCTCCAACATATAATATGTTTGTTGAATGGAAACTCCCTGCACATTCAGTCGCAATCCTGCACATTGGCCCATATTTGGAATGCAATCTCCATTTCCTATTTGTACCTTATATCCATGAATTGGATGATAAGGAAGGGCCCACTTATCCACCAGCTCCTGTGATACAAAATTATGGGTAGCCCCACTGTCAATTAAGACATCCACCAGTATTACTTTCCCTTGCCATTCAATTTTGCCTTTGACTTTGAAAGTCTGCATAGAAGGAATTCCTTCCCTGCTTAGTATTGACAGTTGCATAGTCCTAGAATCTCTTTTATTTGAAGACTCTGGTTGATCATTTTCAGAACTCCCAGTCTCTATATCAGACTCTTCATCTCCATCAGAATTTTCAACTAATATCATTTTATAATTCTTCATTCTGCATATATGTCCTTTTCCCCAATTATCTCCACATTTGAAACATAATCCTCTCTTACTTCTGTCAAGTAACTCCTCTTGAGATAGTCTGGACCCACTTCTATTGCTGTGTTGCTCCTTAACATCCTTGTTAACCTTACTGTCTTCCACTCTCTTGTTTGTGCTAAACACCCTTCCCTGATTAACCTTCCAATTCTTTTCATCTTCCCAATTCTGAGATTTGTACTGGGGTTTCTTCCTTCCCTCCTCCTTATCTCTGAAAATCAGAGTTTCTACATTTCTCTTCTCAATTAATGTGGATAAATCCATGACTTTGGCTAAGGATTTTGCAGAGTGAAGTTTCAATTCAGCTTTAATGTCCTTCCTCAATCCTTTAAGAAATATACTCCTCAGTACTTCCTCTGTCAAGTGGCCTTGAAGTGCCATGGCTGTTTCAAATTGATCTCTGTATTCTAGAGTGGTTCCTCTCTGTTTAAGACTGAACAAAGGCCCTAATGGATCCTTCACCATGTCTGGTTGAAAACGTTTTGCCATAGCCTTGGTAAAAGCTTTCCAGTTCAGGCGAGGAGCTTGTCCCTCCCACCATTGAAACCAACTTAGGGCTTGATCTTCCATTGCTACTACAGCCACATCAATTTTATCCTCCTCATGTACCTGGTTCAACCGGAAATATCGATTCATCCTGACGAGCCATCCAAAAACATCCTTACCATTAAAAACCGGTAAATCGATTTTTCTTCCCACTGGATGTCGGCGTTTCTGATTGCGATGCTCATCGCGATGACTGTGCGACACAGAATGATCGGATTTATTATCCGAGTCGTCTGAAGTGTCACTGTTCATCGTATATCGATGGCGATGAACAATGTGGTGCGAAGTCGTGGACTGGTGTGATCGACTCCTCGATCGATCACTGTTCTTCGATTGCTCACGCTTTTGCTCCTTCATCTCAGCGAATCCAGCTTGTATCATCGCTAACAATTCTCCATATCTAGTATCGATCTTTTCTCCCATGTTCCGCTCGATCTCTGCTATTCTTTCCTCCATCTTCTTCCTCGTCCTAACCATTCACAGTCTCGACGAGGCTCTGATACCAATTGATAGGAACCTCCAGATTCCAGAACAGTTACAAGAAGAGTAACAAGAATTCAGATGAAGAATTTTATTCAAGAAGATATCGATTACAGAAAAGAAACAATGAACAAGGCCGAAGCCCCCAAAGCCGAAGCCCCAAAAGATCGAGATGTTCAGTCTCGTATCCTTCCCAGTCCCAAGACCAAATGTCTAAAAGCCTTTCTTAACTCCTCCCAGCTCTCTTCTATTTATACTAACTAATACACTTATTGGTTTATACTCTAATAGGCCCGGTCCCTTATTATTATTATTAGTCTATTAGGCCCGGGTTCCTATCAAGTCACCAAAAAGTTTCATTGGACAGGTAGATACTCATATCCAACAGCTAGATCAGTACCTGAAAAAGTGTGACGAGGAGCTCCGTAGAGGTAAACTTCTCCTTGTTTAAGTAATATCTGGATAGCTTTCTGCTCCAGTATTATATGCTTCATCCCATAAACATAATCCTGTTTCCCTGGGTTTTATTGTCTATAAAAGAAACCCTGTTTGATAGAATAATGATTAAGAATTTCCTAATTGGAATTTGGAACAAACAAGTTTAATGTAATAAGTTCAGTTAAACCATTAAAAATGTTTGTAAAGTGCAAGTACTCCCTCCCTCTTTTATCTTCATACTTTTTTCGTGGATAGTCTCTAAACAATCATTCTTTTTCCCATCTGATAAATATGATGCTGCTCATATTTTTCCATTCCCCTTTACATAAATATGAACCACAGAATTTTCGTTTTCTCAAACTGTGTGCCTAGACCAATTCAGCACATTACGAGGGTACGGACGAAATGTGCTTATAACCTACTATAAAAATAAATAAAATGCTGTGCCCGGTCATACATGACTCTTTTGGTGGAGTGAGTATAACTTTTTCCAGGACTATTTTAATTTAGCAGCTGCAGAGAGAGATAATGCCGTAGCTACAGGATCACCTACTTCCACCTTTGATAACAATGTTAAATCTGGAAGATTGGGCGATAGCAGCAAAGCAGGCCGTAAAAAGTAAGTACTCTACATTCCTTTTTTGTTTACCAAATTTAAAACTACTCTGTGCAAATTGCCAAGATATTTTAGTTGAATGTTCGAACTACCTGTGCTTGGTTGTTGTTGTTGTTGTTGTTGTCTCTCTCTCTCTCTGATCTTTTCATCTTTTTATCTTTCTATGTTCCTAATTCCTGTGTTATTTTTATCTTTTATCTTTTTATGTTCTTTTATCTTTTTATTCTTTCTTGTGTTCTTATGTTATTTTTATCTTATATTTATCTTTATCTTATCCATTTTATCTTACCTTATTTTTTTATTTTTATTATCTTTCTTCTCTTTTTGGCTCTGATCTCATGGGTCGATTCATGTTAGCCGACCCCAAAATCTTTTGGGAATAAGGCTTGGATGTTGTTGTGGTTCGTAGTACCTGTGCTGCATGTTGTACTCCAGGTAGCCTGCATATTTGGATTGTGTCCAACCCAGCTTGAGGTTTATGTATGATAGGGTGTTAAAAACTTTATAAAGAAGGGTCAAGTCTGGAATTTTGAAAGGAGGTTCTCCTGCATATGCATGTTAAATGCATTTTTTTCCATTATGGTTTAGGGCTTGTTTGGTTCGGTGGTTTTGGAGGGAGTGGAGGAAGGGATGATTGGCTTTTGTTTATTAGTTCATCTCATTTTTTGGTTTTAGATTAGTTATTGTATCTTTATTAGTTAATTCATGTATTGCCAAATACTTGTCATCTTCACTTAATGACCACTCTAATGGAGGAATAAGGGAAAAATGCCCCCACTAAACAAGGGCTTAGTGTTTTACACGACTGGAATGAATACAACCGAGGTTAAGGTGAAACAAGAACAATGAAATTACGAGTCTTCCTAAGGGGTCAATGAAGGCACACTTGTATTGCAACATTACCAAATGTGAAAAATACACCTATGGGTACATCAAACTATGCTCGCATGAAATTTTGAACCAGCCTTTTGGTGTCAGTTATTTTCACTTCATTCAGTGTTCTATGTTTTTTATTTTATTTTAACTGTAGTTGTGTAGGAGTAAATTGGAGTTTTTTCCACTTTTAGTCCTCCGACTATTATGTCATTGACATTTTTGGTACTCGACTTTGATTTTTTCCATTTTTAGTCCTTGACTATTGTGCTAGAGACACTTTTGGTACCCGTCTTAGAAATTTTCCATATTTAGTCCTTCAACTTTCATAAAAGTGATATTTTTGGTCCTTCAACTATTATAATAGTGATGTTTTTAGTCCTCCATTTATTGTGTCAAAATCATAATGGGAGGACTAAAAGTGTCAATTTGACAATACTCAGGGACCAAATGTGGGAAACCTTGAAGTGAGGAACTAAAAGTGTATGTAGCCCAATAGTCAAGGACTAAAAATGGAACAAATAGAAGTCGGGTACCAAAAATGTCATTGACATAATAGTCGAGGGACCAAAAATGGCAAAAACTCGAGTAAATTGATACAACGACATCCAAGCCTTAGTCCCAAAAGATATTGGGGTCGGCTAACATGAATCGATACATGATATCACCATCAAAAGGAAAAGAAAGAAAATAAAGATAAAAAAATAAGCTAATATAAAAAGATAATATAAAACGAGATGAATATACCTAAAAATGATAAAATAAAAAGGACAAAAATAATGTTTATATATATAAGGATAAAAGAATAAAAAAACAAGAAGAAAAAAGATGAGGGGAAAAAATAATACGAGATCACTCATCCACACGAATACCCGCCCTCCACCTTGCTCTCTTCAAAGCCATACCCTCATCCAACCCAAGAAGAAGCATATCACTTCGGACTCCCCTAACCCACGTCTGTTTGGGTCTTCCTCTCCCTCTCTTCCCTGCCTCTTCTCCACACATCTCAACATGTCTGACAAGTGCATCACTCGGTCTTCTACGCACATGACCAAACCACCGTAGGCGAGACTCCCGCATCTTGTCTTCAATAGGTGCTACTCTACGCCATACAGCAATGCAGGCCTAATTGTTGTCTTATAAAATTTACCCTTCAGTCTAGTGGGCATACCTCTATCACATAGAAATCCTGACGCACTCTTCCACTTCATCCACCCTGTTCTAATTCTATAAGATACATCTCCATCTAGCTCACCGTCCTTCTGAATTATGGAGGAGTAAATTGATAAAAACTAATTTTTCTTCCAGCGCACATTGTACTCTTTTAGCTTCTGCTCTGTATATTGAACTCGGTTGGATAATATGTGCAGAACCCGCCTTGGAACGACAACCCCAGCAGCAGCAGTAACAGCTAATCCAGTGGGTATGGATTTGGATCTACCTGTGGATCCAAATGAACCAACATATTGCTTCTGCAACCAAGTTAGCTACGGTGAAATGGTTGCATGTGACAATCCTAACGTGAGTTTATTAACAATGTTTTTTTCTTTGCCTAGGATTTATTTTCTGATATTTGGCTTCATTAATAGTGACAAGAGCTCTTCTTACTCCCTTCCCGCCTTTTAACAGTGCAAGATAGAATGGTTTCACTATGGTTGCGTTGCGCTTAAAGAACAACCAAAGGGTAAATGGTACTGCTCTGAGTGTGCAGGGAAGAGAGGGCGCAAGAAAGGGAAGTAGTGAATACGAGTCTGGCGTGGAGGGTACACGCAACAATGTTGTGTATACGGCTTATTTTCACGCTCCCAATTTTGTTTGTGTTCACAGACAACTTTCAAAATTTCTATATTTGTAGATGATAAGGTGTGTACAAAAACATGTACAAAAACAATTTTCCTTCTCAAATACATGTATTGTTCATAGATTATAATCCCTCATGGCCTCATCAATATATTATCGCAGTGCATTTTGTAAATTGAACAACGTTTGGTCCCCCCCCCCCCCCCAATATGACTAGATTTAATTTTTTTTTTATAAATGTGACTAACTAGGTAATAAATTTTCATAAAAAGCTAGATAATAAATTTGGAAAAACATGATACCACTATCTAATTTTTATATCACATACAAATGTCACTGTCACTGTCAAACATGATATTGTGATTCCAAGATAATATTTTTGGAAATTTTTTTCAGTGAAAGATAAAGGAATTGGAAAAAAATTGGGACTGGCAATGATTGTTTTAGGCTGCGATTCAAGGCAGGTATTGCTAGAGGAAACTGTCATTGGGTGAGAGAGGGGGTTTGGGTGGGTGGGAATTAGCATTTGAAGATAAATAAATTTATTTATGGGAAACTGTCATAATGTCATATAGGTCCTCGCGGTATATAAAAAAGTCAATTAAACACCACTGAATTAAAAAACACCCAATTAAGTCCATCAACTCTAGAAAAATAATTAAATTTAGAATTTAGTAGGTGAAAGTTTGTTTACTTGGTCATATTGTTGATATGACGGTTCACATTTTCTTCTTCCCTTGATGGACTATATTGTCATATACTTCAGGGGTATCGATATTTATGATAAGTAACCTCCAGAATGAACTCCGACTAAGGTTAAGTTCACCGACACCGAGCTCAATATCATTTCTTAGATCATCGAGATAAGTCTAAAATTGTAGTTGAGGCTGATCGACCTTCACTAAGGTTGATGACAATTCCAACACTATACTCGAGCTCCAGGCTAACCACCGCTTTGTGAGCTCGAAGATCAATAAAGACACTCCTACTTCACATTGCGAGTTGAAATTTCCCACCTCATGGCTAGCACATTACACCTGAGATTGACCTCTACGACCGAGCTCGGGACCTCATGTGGACTTGGACATTGATGCACTAGGATATCATAATATTCAGTTACGTCACTACATGACACCTGCGTAGGCCTGGCGTCACTTAATGGTGTTTCACTTACCAGATGTCAGATTACACGCGTGGCTTATCTAGTCATTCCAGTCAGGCATGGAGCCGGGCCGGGCCGGGCCTAGGCCCGGTCGGGCCTTTTGTGGTTGGGGGAAGGCCCGGGACCGGTCCGGGTTGCCACCGGGTCCGGTTCGGGCCGGACCTCAGGCTGGGTTGTAATTTTTTTTCTTTCCTATCTACCCCCTGACCCCCCACCCCTCCACCCCCAAACCCCCCCACCAAAACATCAAGCCCAACTCGGGGAAGCCCCAAAAAACTGAAAAAAAAAAAAAAAACGGTTTTGGCCCGAACCGGGCTTGGGCCCGGCCGGGCCGAGTCCCCATTTATGCAGCCCGAGCCCGCCCCCGGTTAAGCCCTAAAACCGGGTCAAGGACCGGGTTGGGACCCGAAGCACCGGGCCGGTCCCGCACAGTAGCGGGCCGGGTGGCCCGAACCGGGTCCATGCCCGATTCCAGTACACAAAGGGCAAAAGCCGGTACAACAATACCAATCAATTATACCTCCTCCATCTCCTCCTCCGGCGAAGAGGAGAATTAGCTCGGGAAGGCTACCAAGGACGCTAGCTCAAAATTTCAGTATTTGTACAACTCTTGCATTATAGTGACTTTTGGCGCTCATGGTTTCTTAGGTCATGGTTGAGTGACAGATCATTTGGTTAGACTAATTACCAAAATCATCCACGATCAAATTCACATCATTTCAAAATTATTTGTAAAACTAGATTTAATTAATTTGTGCATGATATCAAAAGATTCGATTGTTTTGAAACTATTTCATGGGGTGTGAGGTTATTTTATAAAAATCCATGTGTCAATATTTTAAGAAGTGTGAATGTTCTAATATTTTTGTTTTATTATTTACCAATTTGTGCTCAATATTGAAAGATATTGTTTCATACGTATTTCATATAGGGGTGGCCTCGGGCCCGGTTCGGGCCTGGGCCCGGCCGGGCCTCGGGCCAGGAAAGTTGGGCCCGAGCCCGAACCGCCGGTGGGCGGTTCCGGTTCCGGGCCAAACCGGGCCGGGCCGGGCCTAACCGGTTCTAATTTTTTTTTTGGCTCTTCTATTTAACCCCCAACCCCTCCCCCTCAACCCCATACCACCCCAAACCACCTCAAATGGCCCAAAATACCCAATCCAACCCAAAACTTAAAAAAAAAAAATTAAAACCGGCCCGAACCGGGCCCGAACCGGCCGGGCCGGTTCACCAAAAACTGGGCCCGAGCCCGAACCGCCCAGCAGCCGGGCCGGACCGAACCGAACCGGTGGACCCACCGGGCCCCGGGCCGGGCCGGGCCAAACAGTAACCGGGCCGGGCTGGTTCCGGGCCGGGCCGCCCGGCCCGAGTCCACCCCTAATTTCATACATAAAGCTTTAAAACAACAAATTATAAAGTGATGTTGTGAAGTATACACATAGCGTGGGCTAAAAGGCCTTGAATACCAATATTATATTTGAATCAAGTGTATTCGAATAAAATAATGGAACATGTATCATGCAAATAAATTAAGAACTTATCAGACTTATCAACCAATTTTTTTTATCAAACACGTAATTTTAGATTCCGCGAGCTAAATTATGTAATGATAATAAAAAATGAAATTGGAGTTACTTTTCTGGCTATATTGGCTGAAGTCACTGTATATGATCATTTTGGCTGTTTTTTATATAATTTTTTTTATTTTTATTAATAAAATATTTTTAGTATAATCTATTTATAAATAAGCAGAATCAACCAATCCAGTCATTCAAGCAGAATTTTATAAATTTCAGCAGAATGAGTCAATTCAGTTGATTTCGGTGTTACCAAACGTGGTCTACACCGGACGAGACTTTAACAATACTCCGTAATACAATACTCCGCAAACCAAGCATTCCAGCTCGCTGGATGCGAGGTTACCGTGTCTAGAAAAGGTCTCGGGTTTGAAACCCGCTAGGCACAAATAGGGGAGATGAGTGAGGTCTTCTCCATAAAATAAAAAATCAAATTTTTTTTAAATTAATAAAAAAAATAGTAAAACTCCATAAAAAATTTAAAAACTATGGATGCCTTTCCCATCGCCTGTACAACCTCCCTGCACCACCACCTTTGACCGGTGAAAAATGCAATTTTTTCTGAAAATGCCAAAAATGGCATATTACTGTTTGAGAATGACAACATTTTCATTATTTCTGCCATAAATATGGCATTCGTGATGAATTTGGCATTTTCCCCCCTCTGGTGACCGGAGATCGTGGTACTGCCTCCTTGCATCACCACCTCCGACCGGTGAAAAAAATGCCACTTTTACTAAAAATTGTCATTTTTTCTAAAATGAAAAAATGGCATATTTCTGTTTGAGAATGCCAACATTTTCATATTTTCTGTCATAAATATGGTATCTGTAATGATTTTGGCATTTTCCCCTGGTGACTGGAGGTGGTGGTGCTGGGGCAGCAGAGGCGGCGGTGTTAATTTTTTTTTTTTTTGCGTTTTTTATTTTCTTTTAATTTTTTTTAAAATTTAGTTTTATTTAAAATATTTATATTATTTTTTTGGTATTTTTTATGATTTTTTTTATTTTTTATTATTTTATTATGAATTGAAACATTCCAACAGCTATAAGGGTATATTTGTCAAAGACACATAATTAGTCCTATGAAAACATAGTTTATTTTTTTATCCTATTTGTGCAAAGTGAGTGACTTTTAGTCCAACTTTGATAATTAACCTTCTTTCTACCTTCATGGAGTTGCTCAACAGCTAAGAAGGGAGATGATGAAAATTCAGGCTCGAGTTCGCGTGGTGGGAGGGGACCCTTGTGCAGTTGACGGTTGAGGACCCTTTTGGATTTAGTTGATAGGAAGTCCTGCTAGATTCGTCCTGAGTATCAGTACTGACAAGGCTGATTGTGATCGGATTCAGATTTAACTGTTTAGGGACTTTGGTGGATAGTGAATAGACTCCAGAATTAGGGGAGCGCAAGCCCCGAATCATCAAAAATAAAAAAATAATACCGAGTACATTACATCTACCGGAGTATTATTTAGATAGTGAGTTGAGACAAATTTGAGTGTAACACTCTAGCATGAAAACATTTTCGTTTCTCTAGGTAAGTTTTGGAGGGTCCGAGTAGTTCAGTCTATTTTGAAAAGACTGAAAAAGGAAAAGTGTAAAAGAAGAAGATTGAATAAAGAAAAGTAGAAAACGGTCATTGCGCCAACTCTGTCATTTAATTTCTTTATTGTCTGTGAAGAATTCTTGTCTTCTATTACATGCCGGGGACTAACCTACCTAACACTTTTCTCTACATAATATAGTAACCCGTCCTGTTTCTTCTTCATTTCTTTCTTCCAACGGCAATGGGGGAAGCACAACTTCAGTCCCCGGCAAATTCCTTAACATTTCCAGATGGGAAATCAACAACAAGAAGAAGAAGCAGCAGCAGCGGTTCTAACTCTTTCGAATTTTGCGTGCTCCGGAAAGCCAATCTTTTGTCAGCAGATGAGCTCTTCTCCGACGGCGTCCTGCTCCCCCTCTACTGCCCTGCTTCACCGGACCTCATTGCGCTCGGAGCAGAGCAGCAGCAGTCGGTATCCGAACCCGATCATCCGCATCTTTCCGGGGCAGAGCAGCCGGCGTTGGGACCCGATCACTCAGTTTCATCCGCCGCAAAGCAGCAGCCGGGATTGGAATTCGAATCGGCTGCGGTCGTTGGCTCCTCCTCCACTGCTTCCAAGAGGTGGAGGAACATTTTCAAGAGGGTGGGGAATGGGGGAGAAAATACGACGGACAAGAAAGGTGGGTTCTTTGGAGCCCATGCATCGGAACGGGTGCTCAACATCAACATTTGGCCTTTCAGAAGAAGTAATTCCGCCGGCAATGGCGGCTGCGCTCCTGCGCCCGGGACGGCTTCCCCAAAAGTGAGTAGCGCGCCGTGCTCTCCCACCGACTTCCACTTGAAAAAATCGCCGGTCCCAAGGAAGGCGCGGAGTAACCTGGCGTGGCCGCCCCGCCGGAGCACAGACTGTAGGAC